AGCATAAGTGCAAATAAGGGCGACTCTCCGCGTAGGAAAAGCGTTTGACGGGATCCGACTGCATGTTGCTCACATATTCATTCTGGTTGGAAAATAAGGCGGAAAAGTAGAAGTTACGAGGCTATTTCACAACCAATATATTCTTTTTGTGTAAGCTGGAATTTATATGACTTGTGACTGGAGTCTTATCTCTTATGAAAATTTTGATTCATGCACCGCGGCCTCCTCTTCCCTCACTATACGTAGGCACGTTAAGGTCTTGTTATAAATACATAATGCCCGTAATGCGGAGGGGGATGTGAGTTCTTGGTGGGGATGAGACTACGGAGAGGACTAGCCAGCCAGAGATAGTAAGTGCCCTCCGGCCTCTCCAAAAAACTTTGCCCTTCTTCTAAGGAATAGCAGCGATAACGGATTGTTTACTGCTCATGGCTTCAATTCTCTTAAAAATTTTAGTTTCATGCTTCCTCTGAATCGGATGACGTACCTAATCATAATTTCTGTTTCATAAATTTACGAGAATAGTGTAGAATCGATACCATTTGCTATGAATTACACAAAGAAACCTTGATCATTGCTTCTGCTGTTTATGGGAGAAAGGAATAACTGCTGCGACGATAAGCCTCAAAAGTTGCAATATTGCAGGTGAACTGCATGTTAAACCCACCCGATCGCATAAACAAGTTCGACATGAACAAGATAACCTGTTCCATTCCATCTAAACATCATCTTGAATAAGTTACCGGCTGGGTAATAAACTGTGAAGTGAAGGCATGAATTGCTGCACTTTAGTCGCTAGAGAGTTATAAATTTCCAAAAATGGGTTTTATGATGTATTTCACTCAGTACGGAAAATTTCTGAAAAGACATTTCGCTTTCTTTGCAAGTCTCGCCTCCCATTTGTACTCACATATACAATATCTTATGTAAAAGTACATATATGCCTACGTATGTGGCTCTAACTCTATAGCCCTGACTCGTGTCTAACTCTATGGACTTGTAGCATTCCGCAAATTACGGTTAAGAATTTGCGATTATTAAGATTTATAATAATAACCTTCTTAGAGTCGAAGTAAGTCGAAAGAGATTGGAAAGCGTGGAATTATGCATATGCAATTTCTTTATGCAGAGGTAACTTTTCCAATGTTATGCATTCGTAGTAGCGTTTTTCGCGTTTCAGGATTTATTTATTTACTGAATGCGGCCGTTAAAAAAGTTTGATAATCGTAAAATTTGGTGATCTCCTTGTCAGGGTGCACACTTGGAGAAAGTGAGTGGCACGGGTATTATTGAGTAAGAGGATCGTGGATGGGAAGAGGTCTGATAATTCATGCATGATTACTATTGGTTGGGATCATCCCATCGGAACAAATCAGCGCTGCATGACCGATTCGATGGCTTTTGCATTCCTTTCATCGCTAACAACAAAAGTAAATTTATCTGCCCTACTTTATTCAGACCAGACGATGACGCTTTCACATCTTTGCGTAGCCTGGGTTAAATATTGATATTGAGTAAGCAAATTTGAAAAATAAAAAAGTTCAACTTATTTCGAACAGTGTGTCCTTATAAATATATTCTTTTTGATGCTACTAAAAGGTCTTTGGATTTTCTCTTGGCTAAAAATAAGCATTATTGAGAGGCAAACTAAACTAAATCTGAACAAAATATTTCATTTGAGATGTCGAGTTTTGAGTTACTTTTTGTAAAGTGTTGATAGTGTGGTTCATATAGAACTTTATAACATTTTTTTAAAATAACCAACATAACTCCAGGTTCCTCCCCATGTCACGAGTATCTTATTTAAATATTTACATGAAACCTTGTCCATAACATTGCTGAATATTTTATGAGGCACGATTGATACATACATGTGTTATAATGACGATGTTGTCGTTTCCAGTTTTAAAAAGTTGACCATTCACTTGGGACACGCCGAGCACGTAATAATTTGTTTAAACAAAGGTTTATGTAACTGTATCATTTACCATTTATTTTATTCCATCCAACTCAGGATGACGTGCGAGTTGAAATTGTTTGTCTAAAACTTGTCCTCTTTTATCTATTCATGGATGTATAACATGGAAATAAGAGGACCGCAATAGTGCATAAGTTACCCGATGCAGTCCTTTGTGACAGTTTATAGCATTCACGGTCGGTATTTATTTATATTTATAACAAATCGGTAAACAGTCCCCACGAGGCAAATCTCTGTGGAATATGTCAACCCTGTCAGGAGGATGGACGACTGAGCGACTGTTCTGACCACAAAGTTGTTCCTATTCAAGCCTGGAAAATAGAGAACAAACAAAAATACCTATTTATATGTTACTTTGTCCGCCTCCACCCACTCTTTTGCTCAACATTGACATGTAATTGCATATGTGTTTGATAACGTTGTGGAACAATCGGCGATATCAATGACGTTTTTCTAGAGATCGATACAACTGTCTTGCTTACATAAGCGTGTTTGTGCTCGATCAAATCCTGTGTCGCAAAAATGTCACAATAATTTCACTGCTCATGTAATGAGAGGAGACAAGACATGTTTGTTTAACTGGGAACCTATGTAGTTATTATTGTCCAGCTTTGAAATGTGTACACACTGCCAACTGAATGGACATGGAGAGGAGGGTGTCCAGTTAGTAACATTAGCCATTCAGTCGATAGGTTACTGATGAGAATGCTCATGATAAGTTGAGACAATCGCGTAAAAATTCCATCATTCCCTGTGTCCTTTTCTGTCTCATCAGTTTTTAGCTACTCGAAATATCATGACCATGATCTTTCGACAATCGTGCCATCAACTCCTAAATGAATCGCTTCATCAAATAATGTTGTTCTCCGACTGACAAAATTTTTCTCTGCAAACTTTTAGAACAACGAAGAAAAAGATCATCATAACTTGTCTAATTTATCACGATGCAGCGTCTAAAATGTTAAATCGAGTGTCACGTCATGCAATTCGCTTTTAAGGAGAAAGTTGGGAAATGAGGCCCATGCATGCAGAAAAAGAAAGCCAGTGCAGTGGCGGATGCATCCGTGGCCACACGGTGGGAGAAAATTTGCATCAAAATCTACAAAGTTTTTTGTAGCCAGGTACCTTCACTTAAAAACTTCTCTGCTGCAGTAGAGAAAAATGATATTGCAATGTCAAGTTATCGAACGGTAGATTTTTTTGAATGTGTTTGCATGTCCTCCATTTGAAGCATATAGTAAATATGATAAAGTATGACATAAATTGTGCATCATGTAATGCATAACGCAGTCCTTATTACTAATATTACTATGACCTTGCTGTCATGCTGCATTTATGTACTTATTTGTAAAAATGTTACCATTACTAATCGATATGTTGCGATATATCGACTTTCACGCGCATCCTTAAGTTTTCCTACAAGAGAAATACATACAAAAAAGTATGACTATGTGTCCTCACCGAGACAGTCTCACGTAGGACACATATTTTGCACTGTAGTGTTAAAGACTTCACCTCAATTGAGTGAGACAGCAAAAGTACAACTCATCGCCAATATCAAGGGTTATCAAGTTGTCGTCGTCGTCAAGTAACAATTCGCGACGGCTGAAGGTATTTGAGTTTGAAGTGCTGTACTCGTTCATGGGAGTTGTGAAGGGATGTAAGTATGTTTGGCATGAAATCCAAGATGTGAATCCGACATGAAGTGGTCTTTCTGCAGGTTCCATGGCGCACAATATCAATCTTTTCAGCCTCCAAGCAACCTACATATGTACATACTTCGCCCCGTCCGGAATCTGCTCGAAAAATGTGATTCACTTAATTTTTATTGTATTTTTCCAGACATTTTTCAATACATGAATTTGCTTATTATTCATTCGTCCATTGAATGTTGATTCGTCACTCCGTTGGATTTTTTTGCGAATCTGGTGCGACTTTAATATTTCCTTGATTACAAAATTGAACAGGAAACGTTCACATAACATATTTCATATTTGGCACAAGGCATAATCAAATATGAAGGAAATGGAGTCAGAATGCGGGATCAAATATTTCAGGTTTAAACGGCGCGGAAAATTGAATGTTCATTTAACAACAAAGAGATAACTTGGTTCAATCAGGCGCCCTGCTGTGCACCTCCTGCTGCCTTTACTTAATTTTCCGAGCTTGTGCAAATTGAAAATCAGATTGCAAAATTGCATAACAAAATGAATCCGACAAACAGACAGATACGTGAAGGAATGGAATCAATGCAGAAGTTCCAGTGTTTGTTGTCATTTATTATTCATTCACTTTCTAGCATACAACAAGACAACGCAGATACCTACGAATGCACGTATGTATGAGAGTCGTTTCATATTGGGGTGATTAAACTGGGTGAAATTGGATGGGAAGTTTTTGACGTTGTTGCAGCAGTTGCACCACAGAAAGTTCCAAAAACGCAACCAAATCTTCTCACGATTTGTGACGCAATGAATACAAATTATTAAAATTATATTCAAAAACTGAAATTTGTACATCATGAAATTTTTGTGTTGAAAGAATCACTTTCGCAACTATTGATTACATGAACAAATTTTCTATTGCCTTCACTTTTGAATAAATTATAATGAAATCATTTCATAAAAACTTGTGTAACTTATTGTTTCAAGTGAATCGATAAATCTGGTATGGCTAATAACATCAAGATTTTTTGCACGGGATTCCCAAAATTTGTCCATATTATGAATCCCCAAAGTGTCCATAGAGAAGTTAGGTTAGGTTGGAAATTTGGAATCTGGGAGCATAACAAACTTATGTAATCTATCCATCCAACTTTAAAAGCTTTTAACATAATTGATCAATCCGACGAGTTCATATTGCGTCCCAGTGAGGAACAAGGGTAGGATAGGGGCAGGTCGTGGTGGAGGAGGAGAAGATGGATGACATGGCCAAGTTCACGATCTGTACTGTGTAATGTATATTATAAAACCCTTAATAATAGAAATTGTCAATTAATTACTCACTTTCTCCATGTATTTAGGACTGCTGAGTGCGAGTTGCAGCAACCCACAGCCACCACAATATCTCGTGGATCCGCAGTTTTTCAACCCAGACGCTGCATTTCCCTCAAGTCCGCACGACTCTTTCGACTCATCGAATAATAATCTCAATCCGGATATTGATTCCAAGTAAGTCAATTTATTCTCTCGGTCTGAAAATAGTTTCGTGTCGCGGCCACAAATCCCTACGCATGCATGTTTATAGGAATTTGACATTTGGAAAGTGAGCATCAGAAAAAAAATGAGTGGAAATTGATTTGTTATGTAAGGTCCGGAATTGTCAGGGAGGAAGGGGGAAAAAATTGGGGATAATATTTGCTCCAGAAAATGGGATGGAAAAGTTGTCAATTTTTCTCAGGTGGCGAAAGTAGAGTTTACATTTCCCACGAACCACTTTCACTCACCCTCTTATGTGCCACACTTATGTGCGCCAGAGAAACTACACCACTCTCATTTAAGAGCCACTCACCCGGCGTCATATTTAGGTTGGAAATATCAAATTCATCTCACTTCTCGGCCGCCAACAACATAATAATAAGTCGAGCACCTATTATTCCACACTTGACAATTATGAAATCATAACTGAGAAGAAGACGGGGACTCAAAACTTGTCCGTTTTATCCTCCTTCTTCCCAGCGAACTTACTCTTTTGAAGGGACGGAGTGAGTGTGAGGAGCAAGAATTTCCTTGGTACAACTCGACTTGAAGATATCGTACCTCGATTAGCGTCTTGTTTTCATAGCTTAGCCGATGCTCTATGTTGTCTTTATCGGAGAGGAAATTGCAAAAATGGGAAAAGTGGATGAACCATTATTTTAATGACAGTGTGACGCATGTCTGCACACAAAGACGGCTGCTGGATGCTTTTCCAACCAATGATCTACTTTTTTAGGAGGTTGGGATGACTAAATAAATCACTGCACTGGTTTTTTTAGAAATTCAATCCCACCACTGCAGCTTCCGTTGGAATGATTAGACTGAAAATATTTGCGACTATAGTTTTACATAGCTTAATGAAGTTAAAAGTTACAAGGAGATTTCGCTAATTTTCGCAGCAATAATGAAATCAGGTTTTGTAAGCAAATCACGTAATTCATTGACAGTCTCGACTCTGTACAAAGTCCCAAAATGACAAAGAACTGGAAGATTCGTCAAAGATTATACCCAGAGGCCTGACATACACGACTTAAAAGCATGGCTTGTGAGTCACCATGCATATGTATATCTAGAACAAACTACCACAACTAACTCAACTCTGCGATCTGATGTCCCACCATGAACGAAAATGTATGTTGAAAGCTGTGAAAAGTTTGAAATGCAATTTCCTGAGAGATTTTTGACTCGTTTAAAACAAGGAAAAATGTGAAGTTGGCCTCGCCAAAATTAGAGCGGAAGCAGTCGTGTCAGTCAAGTCACCCACGCGCTGATTGCTATACTCGTACATCCCCCGTCACTTACTTATTATGTCCCGAAACTTGAAAAGTTGTTGCTATAAAAGAGAGCTTGCAGTCCGCTGATAATTTTTGCTACACAAACTTTTGCCCTTCACATTCACATCATCAACCAACCTTCAATTTAACCAAAAGTCTAATCATCATGTTCCGCAAAACTTTTGTCTACAAACCTTGAGTCGAAATATGCCCCATTTTTTTAACAAACTTACAACTTCAGAACCTTTGTCCTTGTTCTTTCATCATCTTTCTTCACATTCTCGTCTTGCATCCAAGTATGCGCGCATATTAACCAAATAAGCACTTTGGTAATTATCCCGAGAAATTTTCCAAATTAATTCTTAGCATAAGCATCCACACACATATTGAATAAATAAGAAAGCACACATATTAAAACGGCACTATTTACGTTGCAGACATGTAAATAAATGTCAAGTCTCGTCCGAAAGAGAGAGACAGAGAGTGGAAAATAGCTAACGGAGAAAGTACGCAGCACAGTTCTTGACCCTAATCTCAAGATTAATTGTTGACAGAATGACATCAACACAAAGCTAAACATGGGCTTGTTTTTGCTGTTGCTAGTCTCGCCGAGTGGGCAGATGAGGTGCCCATGCTGAGCAGAGCGATGAGATTCCGTTCGGAGAAAGTAAGTGAGAGTGGTGGTGTGTCTAGCTAAGATTGCAGATATTAAATATATCCTCTTCGTGCTATCACTACCCTTCACCCTCCATTATGCTACCACCAACTCAAAGGAGAATCCTATTGATAAATATTCAGTTTCTCCTGCGGTGTCTAGCTGTGCAGCTCGGTGCCCACCAAAAACACATATCACTCGTCCTAACTGCAAACATATCCGGATGTATTAGGAAACAACGTCAACATCTGTTTTTAGCCTTTTTGTTGTTGTCAAGATTGTTTTCATGTTTCGCATCAATGAAGATTATCCCAATGATTGGGTTTTCTCTTCGTGAAATAAGTCATCAACCTGGAAGGGCGAAAGGAATTTAGTTGGAGCTTGAGGTTTTTTTTCTTGGTATGGACAAAGGAACACGTGGCAGAAATGTAGCCGTAGACTTTGTAGTTTGAGATTATAAACTTGATAGCATTTTACGTCTACCATTCTCCCGGTGCAGATACACTTGACCCTCGCGAAGTAAAAGTTCAGTTCAGAGGTTTAATTCCAAAGTCGCACCGTAATCTAAAATTCGATCTTTCACGCACGCAAGATATACTTCTATAGTGTTGAAATTCGGCTAATTTAATCCTACTAATTTTGCTCCATTATTCCTTTTCTTAAACATTTTACCCTGATTTGATCTACAGATGTGCTTGTCTTTTCTTTTGACAAAGTTTCGACACCGCTTAGAGTTCCAGGACTGCACGTATGCCTCAGTCTAAACTCATTTTGTATCGTGCCAACTGCTTTCACCATAAAAACACATAAGCTCCACGTATACATAGACATATATATCTGCGCGTATATACATACTTCGCTAAGAAGGAGAGAGGAGAGGCGGAAAACATGACGAGGTTTGGCAGCCTGGGCGCAAAAGGGGAGAATCAAGCAGTAGGAATATGAAGAGCTGAGAAAGTTTCGTGCGAGAGATTGGGTTGGAGAAAGTTGAGATGTTGAGTGAGAAGTCCTGCCAATTGTCAGACTGAGTGTCAGTTGGATTGAAGTCGGATTTTTTTCACCAGGGTTTCCGCACACAATATCCTCCCAATTGGAGAGCCATTCAATGAAGATGCAAAGTTTTGTCATAACAAATAAAGTTCTTGCAGAGTAATCGACTAAAATCGTATTTTGTCATATCTGTCTGGTGACAAAACAGAGCAAAGTACTTAAACGGTTAAAAATGACTCTAATGTCTACAAAATAGGCCTGGCTACCCGTAGAGATGCGGTAAAATTTAGATGTGGTAAACCCTGTTGTTACCAACTAAACCACCAGCACAGCAGGATACACCAAGTTTTGTCTCATTATATTACGTAATTGGTTGTCTGGTGAGGGGCCATTGGGGAACAAGTGGGACATCCCGACCAGCTCTTCTGATTCGAGACTTTGACATCTACGTACCACGGCCGCCGCGACGACGACGACGACTGCGACGACTACTATATGATCATATCAGTGTCAAAACGTCGAAAGTAATGCTTTTCTAGGTTCTTACTAAATTATAAGTGCCAAATGGTGACATGTGTTCCACATAAAGTTCTCTAACACGTGCATGTCGTCCTGTACATCCTTTATTTAATTTCATTCTCTCATTTTAATCAATATCTTCATTCCTTCCACCACCACTGATAACGACGTACACGAGTTGTCCACCTATAAAAAACTTGATGTCAAGTAAATTACAGACATTTGCTTGAATAAAATCTGCCTTTGATGTATGCATAGCAAGGTTACGTTGAATTGAAAAATTAGTATAAATACCTGAGAAATTGCGTTAAGAATATGCGTGTCTTATCCTCCTGCTCTAAATAAACTGGTGGTTAGAATTAATTTTATTACGTTGTTGCCTCATTGTTGAGGCAAGAAATGTTACATAAACCGTGAAAATTGAATATGTTCCTGTCCCGACGTGCCCAGAATTATGTAACTGTTATAAAACAAGTGGGTGGAGTTGCAACCGAGAGACTGCTGTTCCCGTCTGAACAACAACAGAGATGGATGGCTGGATACATTTGTTTAGAACATTGTTTGACACGTGGAAACAAGGACGGATTATTCCATTAATGAGAACCATGCATGAAGTGGGGAGAGCGAGTGAGTAGGAAGCCATGTCCGTCTTAATTAATCTGTGGCTCGTGGTTGGTGACGACGAGATTAATTTTGTGATACTCTTTTCCCAACAAAAGCAAAGCGTTTGCTAATTCCTTCTCCTTTGTTCCAGGGGCGATGAGTGCAAAAACGGGTGGTGCGGCGAGGACGGTAACTGCATCTGTAACCCGTGCTGGAGCGGTCCGACGTGTCAAGAATATGGTAAGCAGAGTTCAAGGCCGAAACATGTTATTGCGTAAATTTATGTCCACGACCAATCCGCGTGCCCTTATCCAAGCGTCGGAATCTCACCCAAAGAAGAGAGAGAGAGGTTGCAAGAGGCCCTTGAAATAGCTCAGAATCATGAAATTCGAACAGGCGATCGAGCATAACTATGTAATCAGCCATCGGGCTAAAATGTTTTCAAACCTCACGGATCGTATCGTATAGTAGTGAAAATTGGTCTAAAAGTAGCATCGGAATTTCACTCAGGGTGAGTGATGAAGATATATGTAATGCATTAGACTGAAAAATATCACCTCTCACTTTCTCCCACTCTGCCTCACATCCGCTGCATGGATGATCTGGCTGTCAACCTTAAGCAATATGCTTTGTAATGCAATAATGGAGAGTTCTGAGATTATAATCACAGCCAGACGGTGATTGATTTACTCAATATTCAATCCAATAATGCCACACAATGCAATTATGATCATAGGATTACTCTTCGTGGTGCATGGGAAGCAAGCCATGCCATCCGTGGTGTGGTGGGTGAGCTGTGTTGTGTTGTTATTAATTATTTCCCGAGACAGACCTGATTCTCATGCTGCTCCCCGTCGAAGGCGTCCTAGTTGAGAGGTGGTGAAAGCAAAGCCTTAGTTTTATCATCGTCATCGCTACCACAGCTCAACGGCAGCAAAACGGCGTCATTCTGCATCATCACCATTACCCAATGCACCATTATCAGATCATGGATTAATTTAATACTGCTGTTGGGCGAACAAAACCGAGTCATTTGCAGGACTGAGCTTCCTAAACCACTTAAAATTTAGCCTTGCTGGTGGTGTTTGCGTAACTGCTAAGTACATATATTCCCCTCGGTTGGCAGTTAGACACCTTTCTCCTCGGGGGAAGAAAAGAATTGCATTTGCTCTTATGAAACACAAAAAGTAAAACACGTCAGAAAACATAGTCGAACCTTAAACTGTTGAGAACTTCAAAAGAAAAAGTGCTCCTTTCACGAGTCGTGAATGGCAGCATAACACCACGAATACACGTCACAGAACAAAAAAAGTATGAAGTGCCGGGTTGAAAACCAACTTGTACGCTAAAGTAATTAATGATTTTTGCACCAGTCGACAGATTTGCTCCCCGGTTTTTGGCAGAAGAGCCATTTTTCATTGTGGAAGCATCTTCGCCTGCTTCCAATGGAGGTTCAAACTCTGGAGGAAGTGGCTACTCTACGTTCCTTGACCCAGCATTTGACCCTGTTTACCCACAATTCGCCTACTCGTCCTCATCCTCATCCTCAGCAGATTTCGTGGACCCTGCCCCCTCACCTTCTCTCCCCCCTACAAACTCCTGGACGAAGGGGGGCAGCACCACAGCCGCCACCACCAGCACGCAGCACTACCAACCCCAATTCTACCCACAGTTCCACAGCCACCAGAACCCATTGCCCCTCTTCAGGATAGAGTCAGCAGACGATGATCTGGGCCTTACATGCCAGTTGGGCCAAATCGGTAAGAGCGGATTAGGGGTCCCAATCCCGGACGATTTTGGAAATCCCGGGAATCGGGATTCCCGGTTTTGGCCGTGAGAAATCCCGGGAAATCCCGGGATTTTTTCCCGAAATTCAAATATCACCTTATAACTTCAAATTAGTCAAATTTGGGTATACAAAAAGGTACATGACTATAAAAGTACAGCGCCTGAGCGTATTTATAATACTTACATATCTCTTTATGTGTTTTCGGGCTCTGTGCATGCATGAATATTATTATAAAGTATGCTATTTTCTGGTCAACTCAAAATAAATATGGTAGCAATACAAATTAGCGATTATATGGTTTTGCCTGCTATTGAAAATGTTAAATCTCGGTGTATTTCGGCGTAGCCCAATTTTCGCCCTTTCGAGGTGATATGTGATATGCAAAAGTTTGACAATTTCATTCCAGAAATCTTAAATAATTAACCAAGAATGTTAACCCGAAATGCCCAAATTGACGTACTTATATTATTTGGCCTAAATTGCGAACCATTATTCAAAAACTTCGGTTGGATATGAAGTTTAGCAATTCAAAAATTTCAAGATCAAATATATGAACCACTTCGTGCAAAACGCATTAAATTTAGCTTTAAATTCATCGGCTAAAATTCGAACTCACTTCTAACATAATAGCATTTTTGAGCATAACTGATTTCAGATTTTATGATTATAATCTTGCTTAGTTCAAGTTAAAATCTAACATCGAAATTGGGAATTTGAAGCTCGATCTTGAACTATAAATTTCATTTTGAATTATATAATTTAGATATGTATAAATATATGTACATATGTATACGGGTTAGAAAAATGTGGCTAACCATATTGTTAAACATTTCGATTTTCGAGTCCAGGATCAATTTGTATGGTTACGTCATCGAAACTTTTCTTACCAATCATCATATAACCGAAAATAATGTAAAATTGCTATTAAAATTGTAAATTATAAGTAATTTTCAGCTCTGAATGACGAATTGAAAATCCCGAAATCCCGGGATTTCAGTTCTTCAAATCCCGGGATTTCGGGATCCCGTTTCCCGGGAATTCCCGGGAATAAAATCCCGAAAAATCCCGGGACTGGAACCCCTAGAGCGGATGCACAAATTATTTGATCAGCCTTAACTTTTTATCAATTATTTTCTCTTTAATAATGACCACCAGAAGTCAACAGATTTCACTCAAAGCCACGTCTATAAGGTTATGATTTACTAATTTAATTATGCAGGTCCAGCTGCCACTTGCCCGTGTGCAACCCCTCGCTACAAGGTGGTCGGAGCAACGACCACCTTCCCCGAAAAATCTTTGGACCATCCACCCTCGTTTGAGGATGGGCTGGCAGATGAGGATGCAGCAGGGGCCAAAGGTAGTGGCGGTGGTGGGAAAGGAGACGACTCGTCGCCGTTGACGACAAGCAAGGAATGTCGAAATCAGAGTCACAACCACCCTGGCAACAATCTCTTTTGGGCGGATGAGGAGACTGGAGATGTTTTTCTACGCCAAGGCTTCAAACTGCAGCCAAGCAAACACTACTTTATCACTCTTCAAGTTTCTGGTAAGTCTTCGTACTTTGGAGCAACTTTCTTCTGCCCCTCATTATATTGATTTTCGGTAAAAGTCACCAATTTGAAATTTTTTAGCAGTTAGTTTCCCTGTCTAAAAAAATGAGGGCATCATGCATGAGAGAAAGTTGTCCGATGCAAAAATATAAAACCCACGAGCGACGAACGCAGCAGCAGAGAATTTTCCTGCATTTCCTTCACTTTCACCCCGTTCCCAGATGACTTGATGGTGGTGGATTAGTTGGATGTGACCGCATCCTCAGAATCTTAAGTGACCACGTGCTCCCACTAAATTACTTAGTATTTAAGGCTTTGCCAGCCCACTCGGGGTAAAAGCGGCAAAGAGAAAGAAGTGGATGTGGAAGATATGGAAAGCGGGGGAAGATCTTCATTTGCATTTGCTTCATTTAAGCTTCAGAATGAGAGAAATCTTTTAATTTTATTGCTTCTCGAATCAGAATGGATGGCGAATAGAGAGCTCGTGCTATTAATGATTAAAATAAAACAGTTAATGGAAAAAGTTGTGATAAATCAGGACAACTTGGGTCGCCTGCTAATTTTATGGCTACTTACATAATATATTTTCTTAGTTAATTGCTTTCATAATTAGTCAATCCCAAGTTTCTGCATCCAACTAAAGTTATATGTACATTTCTCATAATAAACATACAAATATTTGTAAGTGCATTCGTACCTATGAAAAAGATTGGACACAAAATGAACCGAGTAGTTAGTTGGCTGGACATACATATACATATTCCATACAAACAAACGAAGGAAGTCGCAGGAAGCGAGGAGATAGAGTAACAATGCGTTTCCTTTTTGTATCACGACGAGTAGTGGCGTAATAACTCGTACGATTTTATTACTCTAATTGTTCACCAAAGGATTAACGAGAAAAGTTTGTTGCAACTCTTGAAACGTCGTCATCGGAAGCAGGGGAAGAACTATGTACATATAAATACGTTCTATATGAGTGCATATCTACGTGCATGGTATTCTAGAGACTTGTTCTTGGCAATAGTGCTCCGAGGTTCAGTCGGTGGGTCACGAAATAAATTCTGAATGTTTTTATGCCCACGAACGTTAGGAACCAAACCAACAAAGAACAATGCCAACAAATCCGAATTCTTAAGTATACTAAAAAGATACCGAAATAAAATACCTCCGCCGTTAATCCTTTTTTTCTCAGATTTTGGGGAGATGCCAAGCATCGCATCGCCCTCTCATATGCGTATCAACCCACGCCGCCACCGTGAATGAATGCATTAGATTCCTTCATACATGCATGTCAAGATAAAATTTTGCATCCCATGTGACGCTACTTTGTGTCCCATGATCCGATTACAAATTGCCCAGAAAATCTTTTTGGAATATTTTAACATTAATGAGTAGCCGTTCTTCTTGTTTCAGTAGAGAAATCCATGACACAAGAAGACCGACTTTGGAGTACATATATTTCTCACATAATTATGACGGTAGCGATGGAACGGAGAGAGAGAAAAAAAGAAAAATTTGAACAGTTTCCCTGCCACAAAAGTCGAAGCGATTTGAAAATTTTATACGTTTTTAAAAGCAGATAAATTTACCACGCATTGGTCAAATGGCCCTTCCAGAATTACTTTATGTTCTGATAATGTGCGGTAGAGTTGAGGGAGCGCAGCGGATCGCGGATGATATAATGTCATAACTTTTGCTGAATCAAAATGATTTTATGAGGAGGATTAAAGTCGAATATGGGTCTCTTTGTCATTTCCGTATTATTACGTTTAGAAGTATCTGCCCCGGGAGAGCCTTCGCTGATGGTTGTGGTGTTCTCCGACCGCGGGTCATTTTTCCCATGGAATGTTCCCTGAAAGAATTATGTCACCAAAAGAATGGGTCCAATTATGAGCACAATGCTTTTGTTCACGATTACTTTTCACCAAAGTGAGGTAGCTCCACACCTTGAACACGTTACGAGGTATTTTGGACGCCATAGTACAATCGCATAGTTTGGTGCTGTGACATGTACGAATGAGGTCTGTTACTGTGTTACAGTTCTCATGAAATTGTGTGAGCATGGTACAAAATAGTATTTTACTGGCTAACTATTTACGGGAATACGTACATCCATCTCATTGTCAGTACGATTTGAGACGAAGAAACTCAAAAACTTTATAGCTTTCCACTTGAAATCACAGAATGTTAAAAATATTTCTCACACAGTCGTGTCGCTGCTTCTGAAGATTTGGTTACCCAACAAATGGAACAGTTGACACTGCTGTAAATAAAGAGAGTTTTGGAGAGAAACAAACCTTTCAACAATCCTTTTACTTTCTCCATTTCAACGCTTCAAGGACTAGAATAAGCACTATTTGTTTTGAAAATGAAGTGGTTTTGCAGGCAGGACTACCTATCCAAGCAATCAAACATATACACCAAACTGAGGAGGGGAGCTTCACCACCTGCCCCTCTCAGATCTAGATGTGCTTTGGATATGTGGTAGGGTCCCATGAGTGTACTAAAACCCTAAAGTGGTTTGACTCCATGGCCACAGTTACGCCCGCCACACCCACTCAAAGGCGCCAAAAACACGAAAAAAGCCCTGTGTTCACTTGTTCAAACCCTAGCCAAAAATCCAATTTTGCTCGGATTTTGGTCAAATTTACATTTTTGTGATCCCAGATACTTGCTTGATCATATCCAGTAGCAATCTCAACTTTTTTGAAATTTTGAATTTTTTCAAATAATTCATCAGCCCGAAAATGCCCGAAAATTTCGAAAATTTCAAAAAAGTTGAGATTGCTACTGGATATGATCAAGCAAGTATCTGGGATTACAAAAATGTAAATTTTATCAAAATCCAATCAAAATTGGATTTTTGGTGGATTTTTGAATTTGGTAACTTTTGTGGTTTTCATTCCTTTGAGTGGGTGTGGCGGGCGCAAATGTGCCCATGGAGTCAAACCACTTCAGGGTTATAGTACACTCATGGGACCCTACCACATATCCAAAGCACATCAAGATCTGAGAGGGGCAGGTGGTGAAGCTCTCCTCCTGAGACTTGTGATGCTTTTAGTCTCAAGTATTTTTGTAGTATGATGTATGCCTACAATATCCAATTTCCCAAGAAATCTACCCACTCCCGACGTCGATACGATATTTATCCGAGGAAGAAATAGTAGTGAGTGAGTGAGCTGGCAATAAGGTTTGGTTTGTTGTTGAGTGATGGTGGTGGTTAGTTGAGGCGAAGAGAAAGTCGGTCCATGAGCACACTCCATCCATGTAGGAAAGTGAAAGGCTGACTAAAGTGGTGCTGATGATGGTGGTGTGAGTCTAGTTTTTGGATGGATGAAGGAGAAAGTGTTCAATTGTAACAAAATCTTGAGTCATCAGCCTTTGTTTGTTTTTCTGTCATGTCTCTTGTGTTTGTGTCTGCTGTAAATTATTTTTCCGAGAAAGTAGTTAACGTCCTCGCAGTTTGTGTGCAAACGGATTCGTGTAAACATTGATGAAAGAATCCAAGAAATGTGTTCATTACACTCGTTTGTAAATGCCAACAACTATTTTGAAATTTCACTTTTTCACTCCCTCTTTTGCTTAGCTCTGCCCGTGAACAGCAGTGGATACAAGCCCTGGAAGGACGAAGTGGTCGCGACTCTCTTTGTGAGACCCCCTTCCTCCATGGAGGACGGTCTTCTTGATGGAATTAACAACATGCTCCTCGAACCGACCTTGTTTTCCGCGACTACGACCACTCCAGCTACACCGTCGTCTGAAACAGAGACGCAACACTCTTCCTCTTCACGTCACCAGGCTGGAGGAGGGGGTCTCGGGCAGCTAATGGTTCAAAATGAGTTAAAATCGGAGGACGCATCGCCATTCTCGTCCGGATACTTGTTCTCAAAATCTTCAACGGAAGTTTACTCTGAATCCAATTCCAAAGAAGGAAACGAACAAGTTCTCTTTCAAGAAGAGGACAACAAAGAGATCTCTCTCCTTGGACAACGAGACAGTTCTAAATCAAAACAAACTTTACGACGGATTAATATTAGAAACTCCAAGACCAAACTCCCATACGCGCTCAGGGGTGACAGACCTCATTATAAGTTTGGCGATTATCAGAAAAAACATCATAAGGGCAACAAGGATGGTGGGAGAAGTCGTGATGATGATCCGGACAGTGACAAGGATGACGTTAATATGGCTGGTCAAAAGGATCAGCCCCCTTCTAATGATGATGATGATGACGACGACGATGATGATGAGAGTGCAGAGGAAGTGGTTCGACGTTCTCCTCAACCCGCGATGCCACCAGCTTTTTTCGGAGAGGAAACATTTCTTCATCGTTGGAAACGCCAGGTATGGATAAAAGCTGCAGTTACATGAATGCATCAAATGTTTACCTACTGTTTGTGATCTTTTGCTTGTGGTGCAGCCACGTTTTTCAAAACTTTCAAAATTATGTGTGCTCTCTCTTTCTCTCATTATTTTAGACATTGCTAACGGTCCCGGAAGACTTTCAACTCACTTTGTCCCGGGTTTCTGATACTTTCACCAGTGGAAAGATGGGTCTCGGCGACAAAATTAAAATGCAACTGGTTATCCAAGTTCCATCTTCTGTGAACTCAGTCGACTTTGATGTCGAGGTTGGTTTCCTTTTCCTTTTTGCAATTGTATGATTTTTAATTGTAAAAGACATCTTTCATTTTTTATGCAACACGCCACCCAATTTTAGTATCTACTTAATTTGTAATATATAACGTCTTATTTCTCTACTTAAATCCACGCAATCTACAATTTCCTTGAAAACTAAAAAAACAAGATTGACCAAAAAACAACCAAGGAAAGTCGGCGACTTTCTTTGACCTAGCTTGACTGGATTAATAATGCAGCATCATCTCGTCCATACATATAGCATATCGTACAAATAAGTGGGATCGAGATGATAATCGGGTTTTGATTTTGATCCCTAAAGATCCTGAGCACGAAGGAAGTTCCCAGATTTGCCATCCTTTCAGCACATGTCAGCTCTATTGGGTCGGACATCTCCTTTGACAAAGATCACACAAACTTGGCTCCGATCCTTAAGCCTTCTAAGAACGTCTCCTTGGTAAGTGAGCAAATTCTTTATTAGAAAAAAAGGTTCTCTGATTTTTTAAACCCATCGTGCTATTTCACCTGCGAAAGATTTCTGGGGAATTCTAGTCTCAATTTTGATATATTGATAACACATAAAAGCATGATCGACTCGAGCAGATCGGGTTGTCTGGAGCGCATCTTAATAAGTAATAAGTTGAGAGGGAGTTGCGTTGCACAGATGGAATAAATGAGATGATTTGTGGCAAGGATAAGATAAAGTATTAATAAAGTATGACTGAATTTCGGTTCCCATTTGCAGTACGACAGTGCACTCTGGCACTGGAAGGGAGTGAGTCGTGAGGGAAAAAATGAGCATCAGAGTAACAACAAAGGGATCACAATAGACTTTGACATAGTTCCTGTTGGTGGTGCGAGTTATTCAAATGTGTCACGTCGGGCTCCTTTATTACAACTTTCATCATTACCAACCTCATCATCATTATCAAAGGGTGGTAGCAGGAGCAGCAGTCGCTACCAGGGTCACAACCAACGGACAAATGTCAGCCCATTAGGAAAAATGACAAAAGATTTTAATACGTACCTGCTCCCCATCCGCGCCCATCTCACATTCCCGCCTCCGCCTCCTCCCAAAAATGGAGAAGCACCCCATCAGCAGCCCTATCAATCAAACACTGCCGAGAAAATCTCACAGCAGCGTCTTTTCACCCTTTTCGTCAACTCTTCTGCCTCGGCTGACACTCTCCCAAATGGATCCGCTTCCGGACATTGGGCTGACAAGAATTTGAATATGGTGACAACGACGGGAAATCGCCTCCTAAATGTAAGCCTCTCCTTTTTACTTTTTTTGTTAAACATGCACATTTGACGATCTGCAAAGTTTGAGGAAATTTCACAAACAAATGATTAATGTTCTCGCAAATTTGGGTAAGTTTGCTATTGTGTTAGAGTTTCGAGTAGATTACATCATCAGAGCATCGTGATTGTATACAAAAAGAAAACGTATGAAATCGTTACATGTACAAATCCAGGGTATTCCGAAGTTTTTTTTACATAAGTTCAACTCATTCTGCAGAAGCCGTACTAAAATTACGGAGCCTAAAAGATTAGTGATGTTTATTTGATCTCTATTTCAATGGTGGCTTTTTTGAACGTACTTACAAGCAGGGTTTCATTCTTTAAATTGTTAATCTATCCCGTAAATATTAGCTGCCAATGGTTAAATTGCCGTAGTCCGTTCCATCGGAAAGATGAATACGGAAAAAGTTAGCTTGAGAATTCGCCGGAGCCCCTTCATCTTTATTCTGCGGCAGAAAGCAGCAACAGACAGTAGGCATCAGCACTTGGAGATTCGATCAAGTCACTTTATGGGCCATTGAATTTATTTCAACATGTCTTGAGCGGAATCTAAACTGGAGAAAGTGCGAAATTCGAGTTAGCGAGTGAAAGTGCAAATTGAACTTTTGATATTCCAAACTTGTTCAACTCGACGATATTCTTATTCCTTTCAATGGTTGGCTGTGGTTTTGTCTGTCTTGAATACCACACACACATTGACACATCATCTCGTGCTCAAGACTTTGCCCTGGAAGAAAGGTGTCTAATCCACACCTCATTTCACTTTATGCACCTCGTCGCCTTCTTTCTCCTCCAGCTCAAAATTGTACCAAGGAAGGCAACGCAGGACAGGAAGGCAGCAAAACATGTCATATCACTGCTGAAACCGCCTTCGTCTTCTCTCCCTTTTGCCAGCACGTTCTTCTGTTTGGGCCAATTTATTCGGCCAACTTGCTCAGTGTTCCATAGTTTTTCCGTTGAATTGATTCCCAATCGGTGTGCCTATAGTTCACTCGCCCGAAATAAAAACTTTACGAGACATGTGTGAGTTAATTTACGCATTGAATATGAAATTCAAATTTAGTCCATATACTAAAAAAAACTGCTTTCACGCTGTTTTGTATGCATGCATGAAAACAACAGGATTTGTGGCTTAATATAATATCCGATTTCGAACAATGTTACGGAAAATGTCAATTTGGATGACATTGTACGACGTTCATTAATTGTGAATCTAGACTTTGATTTAATGAGAAAACAATAACTTGCAGATGCGTGTTACAATTTACGAGTTAACGGACATTACTAACTAAAAGTATACATGCAATAAATAGAAAAAAATGTCTGGGGTCATATAATGAATGGGGGCTAATTAAAAAGCATGCACATCTACTACGTAGTCGGTCTTTGAAATTCACGGCAGCTGAGCGAGACCATTAATATACTTTGGGCATAACAAATTTCATGTGCAATAGGCTCTTTATCAGGGGTTCAATCAATGCAGAAAGCAGTTTCTTCGCCATGTCGTCGGTTTATGCGTATATAATAGATTTTCCTGAAACCCACACTACAAAGGAGGACAAGTTTTTCTTTCGTCACTTTATACACCGACTGAGTAATAAAAAGTTTGGGTTAGCGTTGGCTGCACAAAAACAACAATTTCATTGGGTTAATAACATTGCCTGCCTGCCTATCAGCCAGTAAAGAGTTTTGCAACTAATCTATAAACATTTTATTGCTGCTAATTTTCACTTCTAACAGTATTGAAATGTTTCATTCGAAAAGACTGGTCGCAAGTCGGGCTAGAGATTGAAGTCTCGTAGCTTTGTTGTACCCTACTGTTTTTGGCAGAATGGCTAACTTTCCAACGAAAACGAGTAACTAACTCTCGGTCAAATATAAAATTCCAGTTTACAGGTTATCATGTTAGCTTAACTTAACCAACCCAACTTTGATTTTCAAGCTAGCTTACCTTGCTTCCTTCCTAGAACAAGATGGGCCGTGATGATAGGATGAGTTTGGGGTTTGAACGCTCCATATCATAACAGCAAGCAGTAGCTATATTCTTTAGTGGGTAGCCACTGAAAGAAGGGAGCATTGCTACGCTATGACCCTGTATGAGTTCTCTTTAAGAACGACGACGAGGAGCTGGAGGAAGTAATAATTTGGTATTACCAAGAGCGTAACAATTATTATAACCATCCGTATAAAAGCTGCCTGGACAGGAGCGAGGAAAGTACGTCTCCGTGGTGCAGGGAATAATAAACAAGTTGAGAGATAAGAGTGGACAAACCCTCGTAAATTTTTGGTTGACAGCCAAACACATATTGTACGTAATTTTTTTATTCAGCCGACCCGGCCATTTAGAGCAAGGTTTCCTGCTATTTGACGACCTCACATAAGTTTCACATACATAAAAAGTATTAATGTTCGCAGAAATCTAGATTATTACTTTATCGCTTGTTAAATGGACCCAGTACAAGAACGGTTCAATTCGATACGGATTATTTGTTGCGTATATGGCTGTTGTATAATTGAGGAGCAATTGCTTTATGGGCATGTATAAAGGGAGACTTGGGATAGAATTTTAGCCATATGAACGTACGAAAAAATAGGACGCCAAATTTGCTCATTCTTTACTCAGACACGTCTCTTTTCTCTTAAATTTCAAACTGAGGTAGTTATCTCGTAAAGATTTTGGTTTCCTCGAGCCATGCGGAAATAGGTTTTTGTTTTTTCTTGTACACCTCCGTATGCATCCTTAATTCATCGTAAATCCATGATACTGTTCTATTCCGACTGACTATACATTGAAAATACGTAGCTCACGGCAGCCCCAAGTCTACTGAGAAACATTACAATTTCCATCAATAAGCGGGGACGTTGTCACCCTTCACAAGAAATCTGCAAACATGGGGCTCACCCTCTCCGCGTGGTTTTTCCAACAGTAATCCCAGAAAATAAAACTCGAGTGACAGGATTGAATAAAAAATGAATGGAGCATAAATGGAGGAAAAGTTCCAATTTCCCAATAAAGTTGTTCCGTTTGGATAGAGAGGGAGAAAACGTCTCGCATGCATGCATGACTCTGAGGAGGAAGGTGAGAGAAAGCGACATTCGATTGGGAATACAACGTCTTAGTCTCACGCTTTTCTTCATGGGAGAGGACCGTCCATGTCAGACGACACCATAATTTTCATTTTTTCCTACCCAACGAGCAGATCATGCCGGGCTAGACCAGGTATTCCATGAACACACCTCGTCGATCATCCGTCCCACACTTTTATTCGGGAGAACGTGTGAAGAATAATACAATGAGAGAATGTGAAACCAAACTTTCTCACGCAACTTAGTCCACTTTGAGTACTCGAATCCCAACTGGAAGAACAAACCTATTCGCAGTCTTGGTCCACAATCCACACGCCAATCTCTGAACAAGTTGTACAACATTGTGTGCACCATGTGGTTACGACTTGCTTGTAGGACTGACTTTCCCTTGTTTTCACTCTAGTCACACCGTCAAGAGGAGAAAAAAGTTGAACCACAGCCTCACATGAAACAAACAAGAGAGCAAAAAGTATGTAAAGACTTAAAAAACGGGCAGGGAGCGAGTCTATTAATGCGAATGATGATGGAATGCAAAGATTACTCGTACATGGCTCCGTTTCGCTTGATATTAATCGCCACGGGCAATAGCTCACTTGACATTTCCGGGACAAATTGCATGTCACTGTATTTCTTTCTTAATTGAGTTGTTTGGCTGTAATTACGAGTTTTTACGTGACGACAAAGTAAGTAGGAGTTTGGTCTGGTTTGGTGGCGTAAGTTGGTGTAAAGGAAATGTAGATTATTTGATTAATATACACATTTTAGGTACGAGTTCTCCTGCTACTTGAAACTGCTGACTTTCCTTTGTGCTTCACGTCAATTGATGTACAAACATAATTCTGTGTTAACTATGCTGCTGCTGCTGTGTAAGATCAGTTGATATGTATTCATTAAGGTGCATAATTATTTGGCCATATTTATTATCAGTATAAAGCTCAACTGTTATTACTTCATTGGCATCAAAGCGAGAAACGTAGTGCTTTGTTGTTAAATTGACACAAGTGGTGTCTCCCAAGAGGATGGGCTACATTTTCTGTATAAGTTCCATTAATTTACCTTCTCCCTCTCAAGCCCTTCGTGTCCACGTAATGGTAATAATTGCTGGTTCTTGTTGTTACAGCGAGTTCACGGAGTTCGAGTGGGTGTGGAAGGGCCGCGAGAAATTCCTCAAGGGGAGTGGAAGTCATACACTGTCAAAGTGTACCTACATCAACCCACTCAGTTCAAACTCACCATTGAGCAGGTGGAAGGGAACGAAATTGCTGACCAGGTAAAAGAAAAATAGATTTTATCATTATTTTCACTCTCACTTTCACCATGAGATGGATAGATACCCAAGGACGAGCAGCTTAAAAGTACAGTTTATTTATACGCTAATAAACAGGACTCCATATCTGTGGGAGACATCCGCTTGGTGAAAATGGGCAAAAACATTGCGAGCTGTAACCAACTGTCAGAGAAAGTGGGATTTCGTGTGTTCTGCAAAAAGTTGTCCGGAGGCAGGAAGGGAGATCTGTGCACCATCGAGTCCCCTTCGCTCAACCTGTGTCCTCTAAATTTACACCATCGGTCAGACCGGAATTTCTCAAACGGTAATGAATCATTGGCATCATTATTTGTATTATTAGATATCTGCACATACATGTAAATAGCTGGATGTCGTCATAATATAACCTAAATTTTCTGGTCTGTTGGATCCGCGTGATACTTATTTCAGTTTAAAAATGATCAAAGTTTTGTCCTCTGCTGTACATTTCACTTGAAAGTTTTTCTTGAATGCGGGATTTGAAGGATGTTTGTGGTGGTGGTGGAGGATATAAAGTTGCGGTCGTCCTTCTCTCTCCGTGTCAAGTATGAACAGTTCCATTCGAGATCCTTCTTTTGGCTCTTTCTTCGCTATAGTAAATTCTAGAGAGCGTTTTAGTGAGAATGGTTGTTGTAGGACTTTTCTCATTAGTTTTTATCACTTTCATTTATCTGCAAATCTGGACATGTATCTCCGTCTCTTTGCAGCTACTTCTGGCTTATTTAGCAGTTTATTCTTTCAATATTGACTCTATCTCAGAAACGCACCTATGCCACTGCCTCACCTTCCTCCTCGTCGCCTCCTCTATACAGTCGTCGTCTATACGTATATTCATTTCAAAAGAATGACACTGATTTCCTTCAACCTTGTTTCATCAGCTTTCTCCGTGAACATATCACAACCTGGTCTTCTTTAAAAACAAGACTTCCTGAAAAATATATTAATCTATCATAGCTAGGAGAAGAAGAAGTAGGTCGATTACATGTACAAGAGTACGTCGTGATCAGCATAGCTAAATTAAAGAGGAACACGACAGACCTAGTTCACCCTCATTTTCGTCTGCATATTTAATAAATGGTTCCCCACTGGATTTGCAATTTTTAAGAAGCAAGGTGTGTAATGTCCCGTAAAATAAATGCGTATAAAACCCTCGTGATGATATTCTTGCAGTCTTTGTCGCACATTTACTACTCGAGAGAGAGAGAGAGAGAAGTAGTTCCAAGATATGGAATCAATAAAATTTAATGACGCTGTCCTAAATTGAATTGAAGTTGAGTCAGCTTTTCCCTAACTCGATGCTACACAACGAGACGTTTATAAGTGAGCCGCTCTCTTAGCATCCGGATATATTTATTACAGCATCAGACCCCCAGTCAGTCAGTGACATATTGCCAAGTTTTGATAAAGATCATACGGTTTGGTTCGTTTCATACTGTAGTTTATGCAAATTCGTATTCGCTAATAAGCTCAATAATAGATCTTTATCAGACTGGAAGTTTGATGATATAATTCGGGTGACGTTTTCAATAATAAATTTCGCTTTATGGTAATGAGATTGACGTCGAGTTGTTCTTAACCCCCTGCAATGTATCAATTATGTTGGGATTGAATATGCACATATATTTTCCATAAATTGGAAGAAAACGCAGTTCTTGACTTTTCTTGGTTTTTACTGGGGAAAATTCGACTCCAGTAGAATTATGAATTGACAGCGTCAGTAAATATATTTCTGCACGAATGTAGAGAAAAGGATTGCAGTTCTACAAGAAATAAGTTTCTTTTTTCCAGCCAATTTCCAGATTAAAACTTCTTCAGTGTGCACAACACTAACAAACAGCTAAACAAGGAAAGCAGGCACAACGGGCTATAGAGAGAGAGGAAAGTTCTAAACTGGAAAAATTAATTAATCAAGACTCCAAAACGCCTTTACCATGCACCGTTGTCTCGATTGAGTTAAGTCAAGGATTTGGCACGGATTGACAATTTTCTCGAGTTTTGTACTCTAGTCTACTTCCGCGTATAGATATACGTGTAGCTTTATTGCTATTTGCAATGGTCAAGTCCAGGAAGTCTCTGGCACGAGGGCAGTAGTTGAGTTAGTTTACAAGAACAAAGCCAATCGGGTCAGGAGTGCAGAATTGAGGGAAAGTTAGCTGGAGAGATTGCTATGCTTGTAGCTGATTACAAACCCAACCTCATTTTTTTGCCCTGTACGTACTCCGCACCTCCTCGAGGTTCGCAAGGTGGTTCTCCGAATTAATACCGCTTTTGAACTTTTTCTTGCACTATTTATCACTAATTATAAGTAAGTATGGCTTCAAATGTTTAGTGCAGTCGGTAAGAATTATAGTGTTTGAGAATTTGCCCACTTTGCGTTTCTCGCTTTTGTAGAGGACAAAAGTTGGTCAGCCTACAAAATCTGTAGAATACGTGCAACAACCTCATTCAACTAGCAAGAGAAACTTTTGACCTTCTTCAGCATTAATTTGTTCAATGTTGAATGCGGCAACTATTTCATTATCGACAGAACCCTCGTTCGGAACGGGTCCAAAAAAGTCTGCAACACTGCAGCAGCCATGGCATACATATGTGCATTTCAAAGGCGAACTCTCCCAGAGTTTACATTGGGAAACTTTCCCAAAGATTTTCAGATCATATAGTTTCTCATTTCATTCCTTCACGAGGAACTTTGCTGGCTTGACAAAAATTGGAAGCCTCTCGCAAACCTAATTAAGTAATTTCGTAATTTTTAATAATTTCTTCTGTCTAAATACAAACTCTCTCGAACAACATTATCCCAGAGACATGAATGCGTAGTACTAGGATCCTTTATCCCGAAAGTAGAACAAAACAATAATCTGGGGTCGAGCTAAGTGCCTCTTTATGATTTTGACCCCTATTCGCCCCCCAACCGAGGTCAGTTTTGCTTAATATTGTTTTATTTCGTAAAGATGTAGAAAGTGTGACGTAATTCACGCTCTCTTTCTTTCTTGCCTACTGCCATGAGGTCCCCCAGGGGTTTGGAATTCGTGGTGGCAGCGAGTAAGAGCGTGAATTAGTGGAGAAAGTCCATAAAGAAGTCAGTTTGACTCAATCAGATTGGGAACTGTCACCTCCTCCAACATATTAGCGGCTCCCACGCCATACACATCTTCTTACAGGGGTGGGATCAAAAGTTGATTTTTTGTTCGCCACCACCTCAGTCCCCACCAGAGGAAACTACCCTTTTCGCTATAAAACTGTCCATAAAAAGGGAATGGTCAGTTGCCACTGGGCCCGCGTTATCTGTAAACTCTATTTTAATTTGTTTATTCTTTAAGTCCAGCCCAATGAAAATTCTCCAGAATTAGAGTTTTTTTATACCGATGTACTTACGAAAAAGTTGACTTTTCTGAAACTAGTTTCCTAATAGAGACAGTTCACAACGAATTTCGTATGTGTTGATGTTTTGTACAGCAACGGTACAAAACTTTTTTATACCGAAGCGGCCTATCAAACCGTCTCTTTCTGGTTCTGGTGACTGATTGCCATAGTTTGAAGTAATCAATAATACGTTCGTTTTATCTAACACCATAAATGCGCAAGTAAAAGTTACTTCCTGGCATACATATAAATTTTTTAAGTCAGTGTGCCAGTCAGTGGTCTCCGTTACATAAAATTTCTACATTTCTAAAAGTACACGAAATCCCTGTGAGTGAGCAAGGAAGGAAACTCTTTGACATGACATATGTGATGGTATCAATGACATTCTGACAAAGTGGTCAAAATTTTAAACTCTACAACTTGTATAACCTAAACTAAGGCGTAAACTTTTTGACAAGTGTAGGATGGTTAATCCAATAAATGTTGGCATAAGAAATTGTAGGTTATCCTTTTCCAAAGTTTTAAAACTTTTCTTTCCTGGTCACATTTAATCCATCCTTTTTCTCATCTGCATGAAATATTTCAATCCACTACTTGAAAATGTTTCTGTTATAAAACACACGTTGGTGACAAGAAAAATTTGCAGACCAATTAGTTACAACCTGAGCCCGATGTTTGTACATGTATACGAATGACGCATGTATGCACAGCATTGCTATTGGGTGATGGTGAAAGATACAAATACTTTATCTGTTCAGAGTCATGTTCTTATCCAAAATACTTTTACACGTTTCACTTTCTGACTTGAACATACTCCAAAGTGCTGTCTCCTTCCAACCACGACTGTCACATATGTCCCTCGTGCCACGTAAAATGTTTATGAGTGCTCACCCCTGGATGTAAAATGGGATTGATAAACTGATCTGGTTGATTGGCACATTAAACTTTTATGACGTTTGACATTACTATCCTGGTGTAAAACACATTTCTCTCTAGTTTGTAGTTCAAGCCTTTCCAAATCGTTCCATTGTACATGTTTGCTTCATGCGTTTGCTCCGGCTAGTTGGCAGACTGAGAGAGGTTCAAGAACTTTCTGTGAATAGAAGTGGCCTGTATTTCCCAAACTTGTGACAGGAACCATGACCGGGAGTCTGTGTGTCCAGTGCTATGAGCATGTTACGCACTCGGACAGATGCATAGGCATAAGTGAGCTACCACGTGTTTTCACCAGAAAAGTAGGCATATACTACAAAAAGTATTTTCTTTTTTGACTACATTTTGATTATGTGTAAGTACATCAAAATAATGAGGGCTGCTGCTATCGCACACGAACCACACCCTTCTTTTTTCTCTCGCCTCATTTATCTAAAATGTACAGCCACTTAACATAACCACCGCTTTGAGGTTTCCATAAACCAAAGTAACGTCAATGCCGATGGGTTTAATAGGATGAAAATGTGCTATAGCACATTTCAAAAGTAGGAGGCTGAGATTTGTATCAACTTTGTTGTTAGCTCTCTATAATTATTTGAAATGGATGGATAACTCTATCCTGGACGACGTACTACTCCATGCACGTACTATTTACTACATGTTCGTACATTCTTCCATTGCTATCCTCGCGAAATAGAATTCCCGTCAAGTGGAAATGTCGAGATTTGTTTGAATAACTTTTGTCAGCAGGTGAAAAACGATGAAATAAAGTTGAAAGTATCAACATTTGATAGCAAAGAACGTTCATGGACCCATTGTTGGATATATACTCGTGTCAATAGGAGTCCATTGTGAAGGAAGCCGTGAGTTGTCGAGGCAATTTTGTATGATTTGTAAAGTGAACGTGAAGAAGTTTCAGGTTTCCAGGATCCAATCATCATCCGGTAACTTTGCTCATGCATACAGACACATGTGCACATTGCTCATTAGCTTGACCAATCTCTCTAACCCAGCAAATTATGGTGTTTTGCACGCCTGGTTTCCAGACTTTTACAGTAAATATGTTCTCTACTTGGTCCAGCTTTTTAGGAATCGATACCTGAATGAGTTACACAATAGTTCCTTTCGGTAACCTTTCACTAGCTTTCTATTTCTATTAAGCACATTTTCAGTCTTCATGCAAACTTTTACCACAACTGGATCAGACGAATATGAACCCATTTTTGTGCGTTTTTTTCGTAGGTGCAACTGGCGATACTGGATTGAAATGTGAAATTATTTATACGGAGGTGAAAGCCCATGAGCGTTGTTGGCTTAATGGAGATAATGCGAAAAGTAAAAGTACAACTTTGGTTGGAGCTAGTACGATCAAGCAGTTCATAGCCTTCTTTCCACATGTGCAGGCTTTGTTAGGGTATTAATGGTTGACAGAGCAAAGGAAATTTGTTGTCTTCACATTTGATGGGATGTAAACGAGGGGTAAAATCAAGTGACATGGTGACTGAAGCAACTCAGCCGTGTAACCCAGATAGCAAACGTGTGAGAGCACTTTCTTCTGCTATGTGATCCACCAATGGGAGAGGAATATCCAGAGTCCTGTGACCAAACTGTTGTGTAACAAAGGGCCACATCGTATGAAATAATGTTCACGTAATACTTCCCAAAGTTTGTGCACATCCCTGGAATGTCACATTTTTCAGGTTTAAAAATTTCTCATAATGCCATCCTTCAGCATTGATTGTCACTATTGATCCATTGTCTGCAAAAGTTACTCCACTTCTTCAGCGCCATTGTGGTTGTCATTGTCATGTGGATCATTGAGTTCGACATATAACGATGGATGATGATGGTCCATGTGATGTCGCTCGTTCAATATCAATACGTCTTGTATTCAGCAGGATAATTTTCTAAATTATTAGGACTGCTATCCATCCACCCGAGTCAGGAAGGAAAGTTGTGAATTACTTTGTGATCCTTCTTCATCTTATTTTCAACTCACTCGCTCACTTACCAATGTTCCTATAATATAAATCTTATTGAAATCGTGTAATCTATTCATCTCTTTCAGCAGAAGAGGACGACGAGCTCTTGGCACCCGCGTCTTCGAAGGAAGATGACAATGACAACAGCGCAAAGGAGGACGACAGTGAGGAAAATGCTCTCGTATTCCAGGGCATAATTTACGGACTTCCAGGAGCTGCTCCAGGATCCCAATTTGTCCTCCGAGCCAAAGTCCAAGCTCAGTTAAACCCTTCACCAACAATGCCCGCCACAGTTTACCAAGAGGAAAAAACATTGTCCGGAAAAATCGTACAAAGACGGATCGAGTCAAAGGCAAAGGGTTCGAAGACAGCGGCGTCGAAGGAGAAAAATGATTTCCACACGGGAAAAAATCGCATTTCCATAATGCCACACGAGAACGAGAACGGTGGTGGTCACACGGCGACGGGGGAGAAGTTTATTGGAAATAAAAGAATGAAAGATCCCACCACGGCCACCTCCAGATCACGGAGGAGCATTTTTAACTCTCAATTTCTCACAAGTAGTTCGGCAGCAGCAACGACTTCTTCGCAGAAGAAACCAAAGAGACAAAGTGCCACGGGAAGTGTTAAGTCGCATCATCGGAGGTTGCAGAATTTGAGGAGATTCGATGGGAAACAAGTGTAAGTTTAGAACGATATATGTAGAGACAGACTGCTTGTTGGGGAAATGCGGATTTGTATGTATACAACTGGGCAAGGAAACGATACATGAAAACATAAATACATATAATGAGAAGGTTGTCTCTCTTTCTTGGTAATGGGATTCCCAACGACAACAACTATGGTAAGATTTGAGAAGTCGGAGAAATTTCATATTTTTGAGGTCGCCGTAAACTTTCTATTGGGTACGGCGTATTATGTATATATGTGTAACGATATTTGTAAATATGTATGGTTAACAATTTCATGATGAAATGAAATATTTAGTAATGACTTTGAATTCCTTTCACTATGTAGCAATTGTAAAATTTAGTATAAGAAGATGTATGTAGTATTGAGTTGTAAGATTTTGAAATATTTTCGTTTGTGATTAAGTCGTAGATACTTTTCTGAATTCGTTCATTCCTTAAATAAGATATACGAAAAACTTTTGTAGTAATATATTTACTGCTGCCCTGGAGCACCCCTTCCTCCTTCGACATCTACTCTGTTGTATCTATCTCATACATGTAACTATATAATAAGAGTAAAACTTGATAAGCTATATAAATACTACATACATAACGTACATACTCATGTATTCACACAAAATGTATATCATATTTCTATACAGCTACATAAATATGTTTGATCAATTAATCAACATTAATCGTATTCTACATTCAAACGCGATAAGCCTCTTTCTACAGCTTATCGAGCTACGAACTTAATTTGAATTTAAGAAACAAAAAATATTAAAAATGGTGTGACAAGTTATCGTATAATTTTCTGGATATATAAATCAATAGTCGTTCTGCATATGATCAATCACAACCTTTCCTACAAGTAACTGTAGACCTTGACCCCTTTACATACATTCTGCAGTTGCTGCTGTCTCAAGCTAATGACCGCAGATGAATTAATTCCCCACCATCATGCAAGTAATTAATTTACCAGATATGTAATAAAAATATATACACCAACCATCAAGTAATTTATGTAACCTTTAAAATAACTGTAACGATAACTTACACAGAATAATAATTTAAGTGAATTTTAATTTGAGAAATTTGTGAAAGTTGAAAATAAATAAATATTTAAAAATTGATTACTATTTAGACTTTTTTGTTTAGATATTGATCGAATTCAGTTTTTGCAGAAAAAAACTAATTCCTTGCACTACGTAGTATGAAGATACATTTTATGCTTACAAGTCTCCACATAGCTTAATTTTGCACTGTCAAACTGGGTGAAATGAAAAAATTCCTCAATATTATTCACCTCATCCATCCATCCAAGTTGAAATATTCAATCTGGAATAAAATTCACTTTGCACCAAACAAAAGAAGACAGGCAGACAGACATGGAATGGTTGATAACGTAAAAATTCGCCAATTGCAACACCCGTTTCAGGGTTTCTCATATAAAAAGTCTCATTTCATTCCGTCGGCAGAAAACTTTCTCCACTTCATTTCCTTCTTTCCATCCACCAGCTCAAAATTACTCTAGGAGAGTGAAAGTAAAAACAAAAACACGTCTTGGTATAAAAACTCGTAGAAATTTGGCCTTGAATATTTTTCATATTTTTTATTACGGCTCAAATTAATATACTGCATAACGGATCAGACAAAAATGTGGGTCAACAATTTGAATCATGTTCTTGCACTGATGATAACCAGAGTCAATGTGGATCACCACCCATCCAGGGCGCGCATACCGCAACAGATCGTAAAAAAGTCTCGACTTTCTCTCAGAGAGACAAGTAAAATGGAATGATTTTAAAAGTTGGATGCGGCGGCGGCTTTTCTGAAGAATTTTGGTGAACCTTGGAAGCACCGTGATCAGCGTGGTTGGTGGCGTCGTGATGGTGATGAAAGTGTTGAAAATTGAAGGGAATTTTGTGGGGCGAAATAGAGGATCCAATTTAGTCGCATTTGCATGGAAACAATACGGACCTCTGGCTCAGCCATGGACATGAACCACCAAACCACTTCATCCTGATTGGACAAATTTCCATAAATATTTCTCCACTTTCACCGACCACGCTTTCACTTATATACTTACTCTTCGCCAACCTACCCACCAACCAACTGCCACTTTCTACCGCATCCGCAAAATATGATGAAGTGCTACTCATCCGAACGGGCGATATAGCGGATACGTATAAGGTTTTGCAAATTTGAAATGAAAATTATGCTCGAGCCTTTGCATATTGACAATCCGCTTACTTCGGAACTTTTGTGTGCTATGAATGTGCTTGAGAGGATTAAGAAGCATGCTCCATTTGATCACTTTTAAGTAAGCTGCACATACTTACTTGGAGGGAAAAGATACGAGCAACAACGTCTTTGTGTCCAGTGTCATCATCCCCACCAATTTCTCCTCGTACACAATAATCTTTCGGTGATTTTCATTTTTGACAGATCTTGCTCAAGGTGAAAGGTCAAATTTAATTGAATTTGCCTCGGGATAAGGAGATGGATGGAGAGAGATCGGGCGAATGCTTGTCGTGACATGTGACATCATCTCGTATGCATGTACATATTTACATACGAATGTACGTACGTACATGAAGTGTGACGGCCCCTGGTAATATGGTTTTCTTAAGCGAAGGACTAGTAGCAGGAGGTTAGCCTTATTTGCACATTTTTAGGAATTCTATCACCACGAATAACTTGTGGAGCACATCAAAATGTCAAACTCAAACCGGGGATGGATGATTGGTTGGGAAAGCAATACAACAAGATGGATTGAAAATCCCACTGGACAATGGTCAACTATTGGAGTGCTGATGGTTTGGCTTGATGAAATGCGGAGTGGCTCACAGAGAGGAGGCTCACTGATTTGTAAAGGAGGCGACCGACATTCCATCCACTTTTCTACACTCCATGTCATTTCTCCTCCTATGCATTGTTGTTCGAGAAATGTGTTTCTGCCGGAAAGACCAAGGTGAGTACAAAGTATGAAATGAAATATCTTATGAGAAATTGCACCTGTCAACACTACTTCTTCTTCCTCCAGCAACCTTACTCTCGCCACGACCAGCACTATTTCCTCACCATCGAGACCACCATCACTAATGCAATTATGATTAGGTCTCTTTAATCTCACTGTGTCAATATTTCAGCAGCAATACAGTGTACGAATAATGACGGAGGGACGTTGACAAGCAGTTGGAACATGGATTGCTGTTTGTGGTTTATGCTTGTGACGAGATATTCAAGTTAATAAAATATCCCATTCTTATTCCAGTGCTATAGAACTGGTAGAAGTGTCCGTTCGTAGAGTTACTTGGTGCCTGCATTATTATGAAGTATTCATATTTTCTCTTAGAAAGTCGAACTAAATATAGCGCTGCCCTATCAAAGGGAAAACCCAATCTTGAATCTTACGCAACTTGCTTGAAATCTGAAATTAAATTATTAACAACCGTCTGTCTGCATCGCAAGTTGTGAAGTTGAATTACAGCTTTACAACTTTGAAAAGTTCTAGGCGGAGATGGAATGCTTTTACTGATCAGTTATGTAATAATGTAATAAACTCTGGTAAGCACGTATAAGAATATGTTAATAATGATGTATATCAGTGTTTGTGATGTATTTGTACATTGCATCGCAGTGACATAAATTCATGAATATGGAAAATACTTGAACAATAGAGATTTAGAGATGCATTGGCCGCGGGTGTCGAAATTCCTTCACAAAGTGTAGTAACAAATTTTACTTACTACACTGTTTGTGTCTCATGCAACTGACTTTAATAAATTTTAGTCAGCTAAATTCCTCAAAATAATTATGGCATTTTTATGGTTCCTGATAATCTTAAATAATTTTAATCTTAAATAATCTGTCATAATCTTAAATAATTTTTACTGTTTTCTAAAGAGGGGTCCCGTCCTCCCGTATTATCGGTCTTATGGTCATGTCATTGTAGAAAATTTCTGTCGCGGCAGGATGCTGCTTGACTTTCTACCGGATTGGTCGATAATGTACAACTTCTGGCCGGTCAGTCACACCAGTAATTAAATCAAGTACGAATTAGTTCGAAGTATGAAAGGGTTAAGAACTACAGTGCGGTTATAATCAGGACAGCTTACTGTAATAAACAGGACAGCATTTAGTAAGATGATGGATTGGCTGTACATACGTCTCACGATTACATTACACATCCGATATAAAAAAACATGTCTTATTTTTCTAAATTTCAATACGTACTCTCTAATTGCCAATTTTCATCCGTAATAAAATATTAGCAATAATAAAATCACTAATATTTTAGCTTTTTCTGAAAAAAACTGCAAAACCTAGAATGCAACCTCTTTTCCTTGTCACACATAATCCGATTTGATATTGGCTGCGGGTCCATTACATTTGTTCAGGTTCAGTGTCCAGGTCATCCATCATTATCACATGTGTGTTCTTAATTGCTTTCTAGCATCAAACTTTGGTCATAATTCATTTTGCTTCGTTCATTACTTCCAACCTTCCTCCCTCCCGGTTGCATTCCTTTTATTTCTCCCATTCTCGGATGTCCGTGTATTTATTAACCTCTGGCCAGAGGGGAGAAAGCCAGCCAGACAAGTGTCCACTCAACCAAGACACATCAAAACAACCATCATGCAACTCCCAATGTTCATGGTCACTCTTGATTGCAATTTGCACAGATGCGATAAGAGCCTTCATTACGTTACTACATACTTTTCTCGTCCGAAGAGAATTTTGCAGCAATAATTGTGTTGCTTTCACTCAAAGTAAAAAAAAACCTTACAAGTTGTTGTACGCATTACAGAATGTCTTGTATGTGTGACATAACTGCAACTTTTCTTCTTCACAGGAGTCTAACTGCGTAAAATTTTACTTTGATGTTTCATATTAAACTCGAGTTTTGTATTAGTTCTCCACGTAACAATTTCCTTCATTTTTGACCTGCTTCATTTTCAAATTCATTTCAAAGTATGGCCTACTTTTGCGTAGTTTTGTGTGGATTTCTGAAATAAAGTGTTACAATTTCTCTGTAGTAGCACATAGCGCAGTGAGATATGAAAGAGTTTTAAGAGATTTCTTTTCTCTTTGAGGCCAGAGCACAAGTTTTCGTCTCTCTCTCTCTCGTTCTCTCTCTGCTTTTCGTCTTTAAACGTGGTGGTGTTTAGTTTGATAACCTTTCATTGCTTTGTTTTTCAAAGATACGATCGTCCAGAGTACATTTTCTGTCCGACCCTCCTGTGAAGAGCTTCTAACACTTTCACTCTGCTTTCTCCCTTTCTTCTTGGGCTGCTTTACAGCGTGGGATTTAAGGATAATCCTATTTTAGGGTGCGAATGTAACATACATTTTCTTGTGGTGGACTCTGCTTCTGCTGGTAATCTTATTTTATATCAGAATAGAATTGAGTGTCCGAAATCCACTCTTTTGCTTTGTCTTTCAACAACAAGTTTCTCAAATTGAAGAGGATATGACGCAAGACGCGAAGCCTTTACCGGCGGATGTGAGGAAATACTAAATGAAAACCTGGGAAAAGTTCACCTGATAGATCTCGTTAATGATGGGGTTGTGTTACCTAAGGAGAGATTCGCAAAGGCTGCCAATCCACTTGATCGAATTACGGGTTTATCTCTATTTACGTGCCAGAAAAAACATTGATAGCTCTTATTTTGAGAGGGGCATTTTTGTGTTTGTAATATCGGGAAGTATGCGAGGTTTGCATACTTATGCAAGCGGCTTCACTTGAGGATTCCGTATTCTGAATATTTGATGAAAGCTGGCAAAAGTGATTTTGAAATCAAATCTTAGACCCTAGAGAGATAAGCTTCATAAACTACAAAAACTTGACGGAAGGGTCTGCAAAAACTTCAAGATGCATATCGCATACGCTGCAACGAGTACGAAGCAATATCATTGTGATCGAATTACGGTTGGTTATATTAGATAATTGCAAGTTAGTTATTACAAACAACTTTATAGACACCAATCTAAATTCTGGTCAATTTGTATTATAATATGCCATATGCCAGAAATGCATGTCTGTACCTGTTTTACATGAAAGTTCAGTCTTTTAAAAAAATTGTTGAACTTCAAGCAATGTACTTCACCAAGATTATCAAGTCAGATCCACTTTCGTTTCAATTTCACATATAAGCCCAATGTCAATTCTTACCACTACTACATAAAGTGGGTTATGTATTTACGGCTTTTTGTATCTTATGCGAGCAGAGGAGAGAATGGACACTGGGTTTCCGAGAATGTCGTTGATGTGACCACGAGGGAGGTCATAAAATGGGGAGTGAGAAAGCCAGGCTGAGATGAAGAGGGAGGGATAAGTGGTAAATCTGGATTTGATGGTGTCTTCAAAGCTCTCCAGACGGTTATATGGCCCATTCAGTGTCTCAGAATAAGTTTAAATATTTTAGGAAGCCGTCTTTTTCCCGACAACAGAGTAACCAACAACACCACACATTTCCTCGCCCTTTCACCACCATCACAAATACTCACCACTATTGGTGGACAAGCCTTATCTCACCTTCTCAGCTTTCTCTGACGTCTTGATGGCTTAGAAAAGTTTTGCAGTTGTACACATGTATGTATGCACTACTTTTTGTCGGCTCCTTATATCCATAGCTCTCCTTGTGTCACTTTAATAATTGAATTGATAAATTAATCAAATATATTTTTAAGAACATGCTGAGTATGAAAAATGCAAAACTTTTATGGTTTCGATGTTTGTCTCATTATGAAAGAATTATGAAACACGAGGAAATTATTCAATAACTAATGTTTGTAGTTCCTGTTGCAACACAGGATAATATATAATTTTTAATCTGTTTGCTTTATAATGATTGTAAAATACCACTTTAACAAATTAAAACCGGATGTTTTGAGATACTACTTAATATAAAGAAGAAGAGTGGTTGTGTTCTCCCAAATGGGTCCAGGAAATTGGAACAATCATCCTGTCCCTTCCTCCTGGGCTGATGTCCTGATTTGTACTTGTAGACTTTCGAAATCCAAAGATGCGATCAGCCATTTGAAACATAGTCATAGCTTCTGGAGTGTTGTCGCCCTCGGAGGCAAACATGATCAGCGCAAGAAAGGGAATCTTTTGAAGTTGACATTCTTCATAGAGCAATTTTGTAATTCCACTTCCAGGAAGGTGCAAGACACCTTCGTTGTCATTCTTTTCCGTGTTGTCCATGACTGCAGGGGCTGGAAACTGACGCTTTTCTAATTGTTTCCATTCCAAGCTGGAGATACAAATTACCATAATTTAATTTTCAAGTTGAAGTCTATGTGTAAAGCTAATACCGGAAATTAATTACTCACTCTTGTAGCATTTGAGTAAGTAATTCCGGAGTACCGTCAGTTGCTAAATATCTGAATGGAATTCCTACAAGTTGTGGATCAATCCTGTCCTCCGCGAAAATACTTGTGAAACAAACCACTTGAGAGAATTTTTGCTTTCCGATCCACTCCACGAGACTGTTGACAAATTCTGTGCGTCCTTTCTACAAGAAAAAGTAAAAATAGATGAACATTACGTTTATTAAATAGTTACGGCAATATAATATTTGACCATCAAAAAGAACTAAGCAGAAAAATGTCTAGTCGGTTATACCATTGTCACTGGAGAATGGAAATGTATTATCACATACTGGAGCTCCTTCACGAGAAAAACTACAAATTAAAGCATATGTCATTATTAAAAATCAAACTTTAATAAGCAAACTTTATATATAAGTACCCATACCTTCACATGAGGTCATTAATCCATTCTGAGTATGAATATCCAACCCAACCACTGGTTCCAGCGAGGGGTGGAACATCCGTCCAATCTTAACAGGGGGAGATTTCTCTGGAAGGTTTGATAACAAAAGATCCATCGCCAGCTGACCAACATTCCCCACCGATACTGCAGGCTATGTCATAAATCTCTATTAAATTAAGTATACTCCAACATCATTATAATCACCAGAATAATAAATTACTTACCAAAAAGAGTTTGAAACCTTTAAAATTTGACTCAATCTTCGGTTCTTCTCCCAAATGCAAGTTTTCAAACTCGAGGGTCAACCCTGCGTCGTCATTCGTCGCTTCCATCGTACCAAATTTCAGCTCAGTAGCAAATTACTTCACTTTACTTCAATTTACTTCCCTTTACTTCAAAGTAGGAATGAATACAAACATTAAAATTAAATTAAACCTGTTGACACACGCTGACTGTGTCAAAAATGAAAATAATGATTTGCAAGATTCCAGCCGTTCTGCTCAAACTCGGAGGGACTGCTCGCCCACCATGAGACGAGTCGGCTTGTGTTTTTGGCACTGCTTTAACTCTCTCTTTAGTTATCTCTATTATCTCATTTTTGAAAAAATTTACCCTCGTGATAACAATTTCTGATGATAGGCATGATAAAGGAAGGATTTTTAAATACAAATTTTGAGAAATTATGCAAAAAACCATAATTAAACAGAATTTGGTTGCATGTTTGTGGTTTAAACGGGGATTAAAATAAGCAGGCTAAATAATCCGGGTTTTCACTGGGTTCACTTTCACCCTGGTGGTGCTTCGATAGTTGACAACGTGCTGTCCTGTGGACGGGAAATCAATCCGTTGCTAAGTTGTTGTTTGCACAACCTCGACACTCCAAAATGCCAGTCGCTTAATGGATGGCGAAGTGCATGTTACATATGTCACTCATTGGGAAACGATTCCTGGACTTATTGCTACCTCAAAGTTTTTAAATTGTGTTCGTACATCTATTGTTTCTGAAAGAATACGAAAATGTTTGCATATCTGAGCAAGAAGGTATTTTGGCACTCTTATAAAACCGTTTTTGATACTCATAGCATCATTTTTTCCTATTTTCAAACATTTAGTTGGAGATGCCTCAAGGGGCAAATGTACGTTGCGTCGCTTGGAGTGCGGAGGACAACTTTTTGGCGTGTGGTTGCGAGAATGGGATGCTAAAGGTTTTGAAGATCGAGGGGGCACAACCTGCCGCACAAGAGAAAAGCGAAAATTCATCAACGTTGGCGAATGGCAGTAATGTAACGATAAATCCAAATCGAGGTTTGCTTGCGGCCCCATCAAATATTGCAATGAATCAAACACTGGAAGGGCACAGCTCGAATATCCAAGTCATTGCGTGGAATAATGTGCATCAAAAGTTGACGACGAGTGACGCAAAGGGTCTCATTATCGTATGGATGCTGTACAAGGGAACTTGGTACGAAGAAATGGTCAACAATCGAAACCGTTCTACTGTACGGGGTCTTGGCTGGTCTCATGATGGGGGCAAAATCTGCATAGTTTATGAAGACGGTTAGTGTTATGTAGATAGATCGAGTGAAAATACTTATTTAGGAACCAGATTGTATGCATATTCGAATGTGGTTTAATTTCAGGAGGTGTGATTGTTGGCTCTGCTGATGGGAATCGGTTATGGGGAAAGGATATTAAAAACATAACCCTTTCAGGAGTTACGTGGTCTCCTGATGCTAAAATGATACTTTTTGTTGTTCAATCTGGAGAGATCCATGTGTATGATACTGATGGGAATTATATGGTAGTAATTAAATGAAATACATTTTTGAAGTATAATTGCAAAGTAATTAATCCTCTCAATTTTAAGTCTAAAATGAATCTTGAGCGTTGGCCAAGATACGATACTGGAGACGGTTCTGAACCAATTGTAGCTGTCAAATGGAAAAATTCCAAATCTGACGCAGATTCTCCATGTTTGGCAGTGATATGGAGGTCTAGTAGATTGACGTTACTCCACAATGTGACAGATGACAGTAATTTTAACAATGCAACTCAGCTAATTGATAAGTATAATGGAGATATTCAGTTACTTGAAGGTTAAATGTATCCAATTATTAGATCCAATTATTGTGGATACACAACTGGTTTGTTCATGTGGGGATTGGAGTCCCAATGGAATGTATATTGCAGTGGGTGGTTCTCCATCTAATGCTACTCAGGGCAAAACGAATGAACCTGAACAAGTCAATATCTACGACCCAAATGGAAAGGTGACCTGTTTTTATATATTTAGTTGCTCATTATGTTGATAAATATATTAAATTGGAAATTTAAGCTTGATTTCAAATATTGTCCCTGAAGATGATACTAGTGAGTATCGAAAGCTAGGAATAAATATATCTGAATTAAAACAACCATGTCGTCCGATAACTCTAATTCTAATTTAAAAATAGTTTTATTGTCACTTTTTTGAAGTTTCTACAAATGGTTAGAACTCCAGGATCCCCTTTGACTTCTTTATCTTGGGACTATTTGTCTCTCCGCTTGGCTATCGGTGCTGGTCCTCATGTCTACTTTGCTAATTTGAGACCATTGTACAAGTTTGCATTTTTTGGATCTAACGTTTTCGCATATTGTTTTGTGCGAGCGGATGATACGCAGCATATTGCATTCTGGGACACGGTCAAGGTAGTTGTACTTTCACTTATAAACTTTTGGAAATTATTGAAGATGTGCTGATAATTATAATACTAAAATAGATTACTACGCAAGAAATACCAGGAAAAGTGATTGACGTAAAAGGGGATGAAGACCATTTCGCAGTTTTGTCAATTAATCCGTCAAGTGTCTACAACATTTCAATCTTGAATGCCGTTGGAGCACCCGTGGACAGTATGCGCTCGTGATTATTAAATTTACAAGTCCTGATTTGATTAATTTACTATTTTCATGCACCAGGCTTAAGTGTGACGACAATGGAGCCATTTACCATCGCTTTGACTGAATCAATTCTTGTTTGTCTTGCACAAAATGCGGTTCTCTTGTGGCGTTACCAGTCTGCCACATCGCAAAATGCGATTCCTACCGATATTGCATCCAGACGTCGAGAACGAGCATTTCACATTGACGAAACTCCGAACTTTCTTCCAGATGCCAATGACCAATCCGAGTATAATCGTGAGGTAACTTAAAAATGTATTTTGCTATGCAGCAGAGAAGACATATTCCCGTGTCACATATGTAAATGAATACATAAGTAATTGTGTTTTCGTGAAGTATGGGAGTGTAAAGTTATATTTGTCATATACTTTTGTGTAGCCTGCATTTCAGGATTTGATCAAACAGGTTAATCATAATTTATTTCATGTGGTTAGTTAATTCACAAGGTCAATATTTCACTGGGAATTTTGAGAACGCTTACATAGAAAACGACGGATTCTGCAGTATGTTGTGACGCAAAACCTCACTTGCTCGTAATTGGGCGAGACTCTGGAAGAATTCAGCTTTACTCTTTGCCTCACGGAGTAATGTTGAACGTGCTGGATATTGCAATGGAGGTCTGAATTAGCACTTCGATACTTAAAATAACTTGCTGCTAATGTACACATTCGAAATGTTTTTTAGCTTGGTATTCGGTCACAACGCATAATTCTCAACTCTGACGGCCTACAAATGGCCATGCTGGATATCGGTGGTCATCTCAGTGTCTGTTCATTGAGCACGAGTTCCATGAAAAGTTCAACTATAAGAAAGTATGACAGAAAGGATATTTGGAATTTAGTGTGGGCAAGAGACAATCCTAATTTAATGTGCATCATGGAAAAAACGAGAATGTGAGAGATTTACATATTTATTTATGAACTTGTACTTATGAATCATGAGCTTAACACAAGGACAACTGTCACTGTATGTAGCTTTCTCATTTAATTTTAGGTACGTGATGAAAAATGGCGAAGTTGAAGAGCCGTTGGTTAGCTCTGGATACCTTGCATATTTTAAGGTACTGCTTTCACCCAGAGTGTGTCTTGACAAAATATTCTTCTTACGCCATATCATATAATATCTATCCATTTCATTAATAGGATCTGGAAGTTACTATGATTCTTATGGACGAGATAATGCAAAACCCAGAAAATCCACAACCCGAGTTTGTCACAAAAATTGAGACCCGTGCTCTCAGAGACATTCGATCACTGATTGACAAAGAAACATCACTCGACGATGTGTGTCAATACGTTGAGGATAACAGTCATCCAAGTCTGTGGCGAATTTTGGCTCAAGCTGCTTTGAATAAATTGGATCTAACTGTTGCAGAAGCGTCTTTTGTGCGATGCAGAGACTACGCAGGGGTACACACAAATTTGTTATTAATTTTAAGTTAAGTTAAGTTTTAGAAATTAGATATTTTAATGTCAAAATGTGACATGATTCCTTGTGAAGGTTCAACTTACCAAGAGGATTTCAAATATTCCAAATGAAAGCGTCCGGAAAGCGGAAGTGTGCACGTTCTTTGAAGATTTTGATGAAGCTGAAAAATTGTACCTTGAAGCAGACAGAAAGTATGTCCATTATTGTCCCCAAATAAATGCACTTGAATAAATACCTAATTGATTCTCACAAATGTTAGGGATTTGGCTGTTGAGATGTGGAAATTAATCGGGGACTGGAAACGGGTCGAAGCGTTGACCAAGCAACGCCCTTCTGACAAAACTTATCGAGAAATGTGCCTAGCTCTTGGGGACACGTTGTCAGAACAGCAAGAATGGACCAAAGCCTTGACACACTATGAAAAAGGGGAGGATTCTGTCAAACTTATCAACTGCTACCTGATGATGGAAGACTATGCCAACTTGGATAAACTTGCATCTACGTTGTCCGAAACAAGTCCTCTTCTCCCCCAGATTGCTGCTGCTTTCGAAGCTGTAGGACTTACGACGGAAGCTGTGAGTTATTTAAATCAGAGGAATCTAATACATTTCATATAAATGAGCGTCCTCACTGAATGTGTGTTGCTAATCTTAAGGTCAAAACTTTCTTGGCATGCGGAATGGCGGAGAAAGCTGTCGAAACCGCGGTGGTGTTGTCCCAATGGAATTTGGCAATGGAGCTGGCACAAAAGCATTCACTGCACAATGTTGCCCCTGTTTTGCTACGATACACTGGGTATGAGACCATCAATTATGATCACACCAATTTTCTAAGCTAACAATTACATATGTTTCCAGTCATCTTCTCGAAAACGGAGAAATAATGCAGGCAGTGGAATTGCTGAGAAAATCTGACAAACCTTTTGCTGCTGGAAAGTTACTTGCAATGGTGAAGAAAACAAATATTAGAAGCTTATGCACAATTTACTTTCCTTGTTCAATTTACAATTTTTCTTTGTAGTTGGCCTTGCGAGAATTGAACAGTGACGAAAACCCAAACCTTGTAGCTGTCAAGAAGATTTTTGTCATGTCTGCAATGATGTTTACATACAAAACCAAAAAGTTTTTCCGAGAAGGGAGACCACGATCTGAGAAAAGTGCTGTGAGTGACATGGGAGAGGAAAATGCAGATCTGTCCTTCGAAAAACATATTCCGGACGAATTTCGACCCACTGCTGAAGAGTTTCGTTGGATGCGAGAAACACCATGGAGGGGAGCTGAAGCTGTTCATTTTCTTGTTTTGGTCCAAAGATTCATTCATCAAGCTCAGTTTGGAAATGCGACGAAAGCTGCTTTGCATTTAAGGTGTGACATCTTAAACAATGTATTTATTTAAATGTGCAACAATAATCCAGCGTCATTAAACTTCTTTTCGTGGTTCGCGTAATCAGAAATTTTGCAGACATTCTCGGAGAAGAGCGGGTCAGCACGCTTCTTGCCCTCGCCGCCGCAAACAACAAATGCTACAATATCTGCTCCAGAGCTTTTATAAATTTGGAATTGTTGGACGAAGATTACAGCGACATTGCGTCGGAACTCTTTTGTGACCGAGTACCAAAGGATTCCAGAGGACAAAAGGTGGAGTGCTCAACGTAAGTGACACAAAACTACATATTTACGTGCGTATCCCCACAATCCAAACCACATCCAGCAGCAGTGAGCAAATAAATCATGGACTTTATCATGCAGATTATGTACATGTTGTTACTTTTGTAGGTGTGGGACCATCATTCCAGAATACAGTAGTCAATGTTTAAGTTGCGACACTCGTTTCCCTGTTTGTACAGCAACCGGCCGTGCAATCACCGATTCTAGTTGTATCTGGATCTGTGAAGTTTGTCGTCATTCGGCAGACTCGAAAGAAATTTTGCATCGACGCTTTTGTCCCTTGTGCCATTCTGAAATCCGCTCCACTAATGAAGCTTCCAGCACCAATGCGTATTAAATACGTACATAAATCTCTGGTGTTAAACTTCTTTGTTAAAAAATTCTATTGCATATTTATAAGTTTTTATCACACCCCATGGCAAATAGTTAACAAAGGTTATTAAACTTTACTATGACAGGTCTGTTGATTTGCATACATAAATCACCAAACTGTTAAGTACTTTGGCTGGGTTGAGAAGTTTTAGCGATGGTGTATAATGGTGCAACGGGTTATGAACCGATCTCATTTTTATACATGTCTGGAGCGGCATTTATAAAACCACCCCCACCCCCACCCCCATCAAATTCACCCCCACCCCCACCCCCATCCACCCCCACCCCCACCCTCATTCACCCCCACCCCCATCCACCCCCACAATTTTTATGGGGCAACGTGAGATACCTTGGGGCAAAGTAAGATTCTATTTAATATTGGGGTATCGTTCGTAATTAGCGAGCGAAGCGAGTAGGTTAGGTTAGATCAACTAGGTACGCGGTAAGCCTGGAAGGCTGAGCTAGCAAACCTAGCTAGCTGGGCTAGATAGAACCTAGGTAGCTAGGGTAGCTAGAACCTAGTTAGCTAGGCTAGATAAAACCTAGGTAGCTTGGGTAGCTAACCTAGCTAGCTAGGCTAGATAGAACCTAGGTAGCTTGGGTAGCTAACCTAGCTAGCTAGGCTAGATAGAACCTAGGTAGCACTTCTAGCTAGCTAACCTAGGTAGCCTTGCTAGCTAGCAGAGCTACCTAGGTTAGCTAGCTAGAAGTTTTACCTAGGTTCTATCTAGCCTAGCTACCTGGGTTCTATCTAGCCTAGCTACCTAGGTTCTATCTAGCCTAGCTACCTAGGTTCTAGCTACCCTAGCTACCTAGGTTCTATCTAGCCTAGCTAGCTAGGTTTGCTAGCTCAGCCTTCTAGGCTTTCCGCGTACCTAGTTGATCTAACCTAACCTGCTCGCTTCGCTCGCTAATTACGAACGATACCCCAATATTAAATAGAATCTCACTTTGCCCCAAGGTATCTCACGTTGCCCCATAAAAATTGTGGGGGTGGACGAGGGTGGAGGTGGGGGTGGATGGGGGTGGTGGTGGATTTGATGGGGGTGGGGGTGGGGGTGGTTTTATAAATGCCGTGTCTGGAGTCAGTCTGCAAAATAATAAAAAATCTTATCGATAGTCTGATATACATTTTATGTGAGTAGCTCTGTTTACTTGTGCTGAGGTACTTTTTTGTGGGGTTATCCAACTAAATAAACCATATTTTTTTGTTGATTGTGGTCGATACTTTTTTTAAGAAATGTATGAAAGCACACAAATCTGGTTTACTTATTTGCATGCATATGTATGGTTGCCTCCTTTGTATATGCGATACGAAATATATGTGAATACATGCATAATATCTATATATTCATTACACATGTGTATGTGCAATTGGAATCCGCTCTATATTCATGAAATTTTAGCCATTAATTAAGGTATCCAACTGAACGAGTAACATTAACAATTTGATTAATAAGAGATAATGCAGTAAAAATGAGTAGCATGTGCCAAATGAGGTTGTAAATAATTAAGTGAACAACTGCATTTACATGATAACCAAAACTTTATTAAGTTATAAACGTATGAACAATAAGAATATCAGCACATGTAATAGTCGTCGTGATACAATTGGCTATCCGAGTTAACCTGAATTGATTGATTCATTATAAATAGAACAAAATATAAATTATACGTTTTACATAAGCACCTTTCATCACGGAATAACAGGTTGACTACAAAATTAAAGGGATTTCGAGAAATAGCAAACAAAAAATTACTGTAAATGCCATTGAACTAAAATCATTTTTCATAATATAATTTTATACACAGGAGCGTGTGTGCATAGATAAAAACGACGTTTAAAAATTAAATGTATAAGATGCAATATATAATCGGGCATTTATAGCAGACAGACTACTAATACAGCACAGGTATGCACATGCAAATATGTATGTATATTAAAAAAGAATTAACTCGTCGATACAAAATTCGTAGTAGTAGTACTGAAGTAGAAGTAAAGGAATTTACATTTTGGCAAGAGTTAGAAAATTCAGTCGAACAGATCGAGTTCCTCCTTCCTTTTCTTTCGTACAAATTTTGTATATAAAAGTGAATAAGTCAGTCATAATTTCATTTCTTACCAAGTCTTTGCCAATAAACTCGTGCACGTGTAGATATATATGATAACCTTTTAATTGTCAACCTCATATCACGTCAAATCAGAACGTGTCAAACTTTTAATTGTTTTTTTTTGATAGATTATAATTATAGTCACTTATAAAGCATGCGTGGCCCAGGAGTACTGGGAATCATGATAAACGATAAACTTGCTAGATAAAAAAATTAAATAATTTGTATATAACAACTTAACCAAATACGAATGAAATTTTTTTTTCAATAATGAATATTATTGAACCCATTATTTGCGAAAATTAAAACTCGAGACGAACGACACTATATAGTTTGAACTTCTATAATCTGACTAAGAGCGCACATCAAAAATTGTCATACGTGTCATAAAGTCCCCAATTTTTGTAAACCTCAAGTCTTTAAAAGTTAGTGGTGCGATTAACCATTCTGTTTCCTGTTTTGGAAGATCCCAATAAATTTCCAAAGAAGAGTCCTATCCCACCGCCTGCTAAGCCGCTGTTATCATTCGAATTTCCGAATTTGAATCCTACCGCTGAGGTATACAAGTTATAAAAGTGCGAACGGACAGACTGGAGCTTGTCTCGCCGACAAGGGGATATTGAACCCTCTTGATCTTTTGTAGGAGTGGCGTTTGTCGGTGTACCATCAATTAATCCACATCCACTAGATGTAAGCAACTGCGAAGCAAAAATGCTATCCTGCATTTCCATGGTGTTTGATTTGTCTGTACCATTTTCAAACTCTTTCCACTCGGCCTCCATATTAATTTCTGCTGCGGCAAGTCGAAGAGGGTCGTTTATTTCCAGGTTTTCTACGCATGTGCTCGAAATTGGCTCTGTTACAGCTATGACGGACTCTGTTAGACTCTCCACAGAGTCAATAATGCCAACAGGGGTCAGCTGACCTACGAGGGTACAGCTGCTTTCTGAAGTTTCAATGCAATCAGGGACTCCATTTCTGTAAATCATATAAGGGAAATCTTCATGTAAATTAATGAACGGTAACATTTGAGTCAATTATTACATTGGTATTCTTAGAGGATGAGAATGTGTATGAGAAATAGAACAACTTGATCCCGGATCACTGGATGAAATTGCTTCTCGCATACTCCCTGGACCAGTAATTAGCTGCCAACTATAAAACAAAAATAATAACCATTAATAAGTTATTCATCGCATTCAGTGATTAATTGTGAAGTTGATTCACCAAGGAGTTAAAAGTCATAATTAAGAATATTAGATTTGGAGAAATTGAGATCTTTTGTAAAAATCTGTGATACAATTTAGATTTCATGCCGAACAAAGAAATGTAGTAAGTATATCGGTTTTTTCCCGAATGATTACTCCTCTTGGAAATTAAGAGAATAACGTTAAGCCTATTTACAAATCTATTACAAAGCAACTAACCAATAATGCCTACAAACTACACTCCACTTCAAACTACTTAAAGAATATGTAAAATACTTGAGCGAATCAATAATACAATTAAAAAATAATAAAGTGGTTCACTAACCTCCCAATGCTGGCTGATGACGTAGATTCCGGTCTGTGACGACTGGGCACGGCCACTGGGCTTGTTCTCCCTACGTTCGCCAACGCACTTGAGTGAAAACAACCGCTTTCTGTATTAGACGATAAGCTTAAACTTGAGCCAGTTGGTATGCTTAGTGGACTTTGTCTAGAGGAAGAACAGGAAGATAGGTTAGTTCTTCCAACGCCACTCGATATCGATGAGGGCGACACGGACACACTAACGCCGTTAGTACTTGTACATGTTCTATTTACACCGGCACCAGAGGAAGAGTAAGTAACACCAAGTCCTACATGAACGATTGGACTTTCAACGGTGATGGCAGGTTCAAATGTCTTTACATGTATTCCACTACTACTATTATTTTCACTCTCTTTGCCATTTGAATTGATTCCATTATTAGCACTAAAGGTATATTGAGCAACATTATTTTGATTGGAATTAGAGGAGCTGTGGCGTTGGCACGCTACAAGATGTTGGATTCCTTTAAAGTCTTCCCAAGAAGAAGACGAATCTTGAGGGATTTGAAAATACGCTGGGGGATTGTCTTGACTCTTATTACTTTTAGAGCTTTCAGCTGAACTTAAGCTCCAATTGGATCCTTCAGGACTTGTGTGGCAGCCATCCCCTTCAAGTAAAACACCGTCTAATTGGATGTCAGAGTCATTTCTAACTCTAATGTTGTTTTGACTGGGGATAACTTGAGGTAATTTGGTAGGTGGTGGTAGTGGTAGTGGTAGTGGTGACGGTGGTGATGCAATCCTTTAAAAAATATCAAATAAATAACATATCTTTTCTGCCAATGCAAAAAATATTTCACATAATATGTATGTATAAAGTGCGGTAACTTAACATACTTTTCTTCAATGCAAAACTCTCCGTCAACCATGAATTTCAAGAAGTAAAAGCAAAAAAATAATATTTCTTCTCCTTTGCTGAGCCTATCTTCAAGATTATGGCCAAATAGAAGCCAGTCATATGCCAACGTCAGGTACAGAATCTAAAAATGAGAAGTAAAAAATATTTGGTTACAACAAATACATATTATTACAAGGTGGACAATTAAGAGGAAGCCAGATGATATAGTCCTTTCTAATAATAATAGAATAAAACAATGGCTAACCTGTTCAGCAGACAATGATTTGTGAATAGCTCCGTCAGCCCACAAAGACAGTCGTAAAAGTGAGATAAAAAGAGGAGTTCTATCCCAACCACTGATACAATGAACTAGTAGTCCATTATTCCCACTTCGGACGTAGGCCAGGAGCAACTTTAAGTATTTCTGGGTTAAGGTCACCAAGTCCCATTTCTAAAACAAAAATGGTGTAGGTAGTTTATTAGATTACGCCGTTTAAATAGACATTTAAACTTCTTACCCTATATTCTGTCCAATTCGTTTTTAGTGAAGCAGTTATAACATCATTTGGCACGAATATGTTAGCATCGACGTGACCTTGATTCCACTCAAACACCAAGTTTTCTGCAACGTATCCTCTATCTCTGAAATCCTTGAAAAATTCACAGCCTGGATAAGGCAGTGATATCAAGTTGAATTCTGCATAACGATTCTCTTTGTCCACTTTCTCCGAAGACGTAACACTGGAACGTGGAAATTAAATAAAAGTATATGTTAATATGTACTAAATATGTACATTGACAAACTTGAAAATTGATTAAATAAAAGAAATTTTCCTCACTTGACTCCGAATTTGACCTTTTTCTTTTCTACCATTAAATCAACTATTGTCTGCACTTGGAAAAACTTCAAAAGGCGGATATCCCCACTTCTCACGCGATCAAAAAGCTGCCAATCACTTTGAGTTTCTGGAACTACATCGTCGTCTTCTGCTCCAGGTTCTGGATCATTTAATTGTTTGTAATCTGCACTTCCAGAGAAAAAGTAGTCGAAAGATGACCTCCCGTAAATCTCTGGACCAGAAAAATTAAACATCAAAAATCCAGAAAAAAACAAGGTCATTGAACTCCACCTCTCCTGGTTACTTCCCTACCCCACGCTGAAAATTTCTGCCTCCTCTCCCTTCTCATTCTATACTCATTTCAAAACAAACCCTCTCAATATCACTTTTGCTTTTACTTATCACTAAAATGGCACACCCACCCAAGGCTTACACGCACAGGGATACCTTCCTTGCAGATATGAAGAATAATATTCTTCGAGCCATCTTTGATCAAACCAAGGACACGAGTACGTCCCACAAATCTACCAATAATTCAGTTATCCAGGAGTTCAAGTCAACGTAAGTTGTGAGGAGACGGAGTTTTTGATTTTAACTTCTATTCAATTAATTATTATTATTAGATGGACTATTACGATAAAATGGAAGGGCCAACATTTACGCCAATCTCGGTCCAAAATGCCATTATCAAACATGAACTTTCTCCAGATGTCAAGAATTTTTTGAGCGAGGAGTGGAAAAAACTAAACGAGAAGGGTCAACATCAATGCCCTTTTGTGAAGGATGAAATAAGATGCAAAACAACTTTCTCAGGAACGACCGGTGTATGGAATATGAGAAAACATTATCAACAACAACACACTACTGCTGCTCCATTTCAATGCAAAGTCTGTCCATGTCATTTCGATGATAGAATAAAATCTGAAGATCATGTAGTGATTAAGCATATGTGTAAGTCTTAAATATATAAATCGTCAACTAAAAATAAAATTATGTTGCATGTTTTTAATTTTCAGTTTTACATCCGTATGTGTGTGAAGAATGTGAGGTATCATGTTGTTCTCAACTGAGGAGGGGAGCTTGCGAGGTTGATAATAACAGATCTTGGTGCCCTTTGGATATGTGGTATGAGTGTACTAAAACCCTGAAGTGGTTTGACTCCTTGGCCACATTTGCACCCGCCACACCCACTCAAAAATGCCCAAAAAACGCTTTCACGCCAGTTTTCACTCACTCAAATCCACGTCAAAAATAAAATTGTACTCGGACTTTGAAATTTCTTTCACCATTATACTCCCAGATAGTGTCTTTCTTCAATCCAATATCAAACTCAATTTTTTCGAAATTTTAAGTATTTTTAAAATTTAAAATTCTGAATGAGCATTGTTGTAGTAATCAACAAAACAAATTATGTTTGCGAAATAATCATCAATAAAATTGAGTTTGATATTGGATTGAGGAAAGCAACTATCTGGGAGTATAATGGTGAAAGAAATTTCAAAATCCGAGTAAAATTGGATTTTTGGCGTGGATTTGAGTGAGTGAAAACTGGAGTAAAAGCGTTTTTTGGGCATTTTTGAGTGGGTGTGGCGGGCGCAAATGTGGCCATGGAGTCAAACCACTTCAGGGTTATAATACACTCATAGGACCCTACCACATATCCAAAGGGCACCAAGATCTGTTATTATCAACCTCGCAAGCTCCCCTCCTGAGCTTAAATAATCATCTAAAAACGGTCCACCTTGTTCCACCAAAAGGCTCAATTCTTTACACCGAGAACAAAAGTAACAAGAAACTGGAATGGGGAGTATTTTCAGGCGAAAAAATTCAAGGTCAGCTCAATAAGCTAAAAATGTATAACTGTTTTATACATTACAGATTTATATTTATATGCAGGTGGTGCTCTGAAGACGCAGATATATATGTTAATTTGGTTCCATAAAGTAACTAGAAAACTGATGGGAATCTCTTTCGAATACACATCTTTGAACGACGTCAAACTTGCGGCAGCTAAGTTGCGGACCACTAACACCCGTGCTGTTAAAGAACATGCTGAAGGAAAAACAGACTCCCATTGTTGTAGTTATGTGGAGGAGATGAAAAATGGATGGGATTTTAAACCTGAGGATGCAATTCCAATGAATATGTATGGAGACGACGAAGCAGCCAGAAAAACCCTCAAATTTGGAACCAAACTCGTGACTAATGCCATTGGTCATGATAAAACAAGACATTCCTTAGTCCTTACAGCAGACTGTAAAGAACAATTTCTGGGAGCAATTAGGGAAATGTTGCCTAAAATGCCAGAATCTAATCAGACTTTTTTTAACAGTCGAGAGTGGGAGTTTGAGAAGAAATATGGGTTTGAATCTGAAGATAAAGCCATGCCCCCTCCAGAGAAAGTTAAGAGAGTCGTTTAGTATCATTATTAAATTGTTAGATTTTTGTATCACATAGTTGTCGTTATACGTTTTAAACTTTTTTAAATCTACAAATCAAAATTGTACTTACCAGCACCACCAGAAAGAGTTGCGGATCTGTTGCGTCACATAATAAAGATTAGTAAAATGAAATAATAACCTTTGACACTATACACACACATATGTATGCATATGATACATATGTAAATCCTACAATGTCATTCCAGCAAAAGTAACACTGCAAAAGTCACATTAATTTATATCAAACATCTGTGCAGAACAGACATACAGACGTATTGCTCTGTAAAAAAATAAGATAAGCCAAGTTGCGGGATTACTTATCCTACAAGGAAATTGCTATTATCAACAGTGTGTCTGTGTCAGCGACAGAGTTATTTTTTATATACTAAAGAGACTACTCGATAAATCCCGGAAATTAATCACATTGAACTAATTCCAGCAAATAAAGTTAATTTACTGCATGAAACTGTTACAAAGTTAGTTATGAGGATATATGATTATAAAGCTGTACAAATCCGTCTAACCTGCAAATATGTGCCTTGTTGTACAACATGACGGAGACGGGAAACCTTGCTCGACACCTCGCAAACCTGGCTTTGTTGCACAAATCTTTTAACTTTGATGCTTCTAAACTCACACCATCAGTAGGGACCGTCGTGGTTGTTGTCTTATTTCCCGTAACAATCAATGAGGTCGAATGGGAATTTTCATTGCCATTATTTGTAACACTACTCGTCAATGTTGGGCTGGATACGTGATAACCTGGGAGTGAAGTACCAATGAAGGACTCTGATTCTAATAAGAGGTCAATCCCTCCCGTGGTGCACCTCGGCGGACTTGTCTGCCTTCCGAAGTCTTCATCATCGTCAATCTTTACATTATTTTCAGACATCCCGTTTCCGGAAGTATCAATGACAGTCCCATTATTTCCATTACAATGAACACTTGTAGAAGAGGAATCCTCACTTCCATCCGAATCTTGTCCTTTCTCACTTGTTAAAATTATCAAATTGCTTGGATAATTTGTGCTTAGCTCGCCCAGCGTGTTTGGAATTACCTGAAAAATATGTTGACATATAGAATTTGTTGAATTCATTCCGATTTAACAGCAGTCCTAATAATACTGCGCCAAAAAACTAAAGCCTAGACGTTAGTTCATCCCACTTTCTTTCTGAGAGGTCATTCTCATCATGACTCGACTGATCTGAGCGTGGTTAGCTTAGTTTTATCGTGGTTCTCGTGTTTTCAAAATGTTTATTTAAAGTTGTAGAGTGTACACACAAACACACAACTCGACTACTCACATCAACAAATACATGCAGTGCACGACGACTTTCAACATATTCATTACTGTTCACTGTTCATATTACAATTTTAGACAATTTAGAACAAAATACTGCGTATTAAACTTGGCATCGGCCCATAGTTTTGTACTAACTACAAAATGTCAGTCACATGCGAATTTTTACAACTGCCAAATCGATCCGAACAAGTAAAGACAGAAAAGAAGAAAAGCATAGTACAAACCAACCTTTTGATCCTTCTTTTTATAATAGAAAATAAAATGCATCCAAAAATTTGTTGACCTAACAATTACTTGTCACGTTCTAATTTTATACATTTGATGCAGACAGACAGCACTCGTGATTTTGTCAACGACGCTATATTGATCTGATCGAATCAAGTCATCAGCCCGTATAAAACAAAGATTTATCCCCCCAAACTACGAAAGTGCGATTCAGCTAAAATAAACAAAGACGTCAAAATTACTTGGAACGAATAATCAAGATCATTGATCAAGATTGGAAAATGCATCATACCGACTTATGATCTACTGGCCACATTTTACCCTCGAATGTGAATTGCACAGAATTGCACTTGTAAAATATATTGGAATGCATAAAAGAGCTCATATTTTTTGTAACACAAGGAAAGTAAATAAATATTTCACACATGTTATGCGTCTACGTCAACTATGTGAGAAAATCTGAGAATTTTTCAAATGAAGTGTTTTTAAAAAATGAAAATGACAAACAACTTTGTATTTATCATGTCATGTGATAATAAAAATATGACTTACCAAATAATTATAATCCAGTCCAAAAAGTCCCACACACCTTTGCATGACCTGTTGAACCTGGAATTAATGATTCATAATAAGATTGGCTCATGTCTTAATCCCTTTCATTCCACTTAATAGCAAATGATCTAATCTGCTGCTTCATAATAGGAGGATTTTATAATAATTATTTATTTTTGGATATTACAAGTAAATGAAATTTGCATACCTTAGGATTTAGCGAGTCCTTCGCCTTGTAAGTGCTTTTCGAAAAGTACTCCAACAATTCGCGAATCTCTTCCAGTTTAACTTCCATGTCCTCCTCCATCCTATTCTTGTGTTATCTACTTCTTGAAGGGCGACCACGTAGATAGATCAACAGAGGTTACACGAGTTATTTAACCACTTGTTATCTGTGATGGATGATGATGGATCATCGGTCAGTATAATTTACTTACTAGCAATGTTTTTCACTAAATTTGTAATACAGCCGGTATAATTTTTTTAAACAAAAAACTCCTCACTATAATCTATATCATCCACTTTTTGGAAACTTTTAAATTTTTCTATAAAAAAGCAATTATGAATTTTTATTATTCAGCTCGTTAAACTGTCATTATTCACACAAATCGTACGTTAACAGCATGACACGTGGGTGGGCGAATCCAGTGTTTTTTTTACTTGATAATTATTCAGTTCTTCAGTCACAATTTTCTAATACCCCACTTTGTCATACTTGGATAATCTTTAAGCACCTCCTCACATATATTTGATGATCCGGAAAGAAATAATTTCCAACTTTGAAGAGAAATCAGATCACATTCACAATAGCCAAGTTTCTCAACTCTATCGACGCAATTTTAATAATATCACCTTCAAGAAAATCTCTTCGGTTCGGTTATTTCTTCATTCTTTTTTACTTCCACAAACTGCCTCTAAAACCTAACCAACCCACTAGTTATTGTCCACCCACCACGAGTACAATTAATCAAATTAAACATTACGACACTGCGCAGTAACTCGCACAACATGCTTGGAAAGGTCGTGGGCTTCCAGACTTGAGCCGCTTCTTGTTCCTGCGCCTCGTCGCCGTGTTGCGAGGGGGTGTCGCCACTCCCTTCGTCGCAGCCGTGGTCAGCAGATGGTGGCGAGATGGGGAATATTAAATAGAGGCGGAGAAGAAGAAGGCGAGCAGTAGTAGTGGTAGTTGATGGTCGAACTGAATTCCGGTTCATCAACAACAGCATGGTCTTCTCCCAGTCGCACATCAAATCCAAATGCTACTCACTATATAACAGCAGCAGCAGAAGAAGAACTCTCCTCGCCGACTTGTGCACTGGTAAATAAGGTATGTGCTTGTCAAGTAGGTGGGGGTGTCCAAAAAATCGACCCTACCATCGACCCCGATGACTTTTCCGCCCTACGCCCACCAACCAAGGCGGGTGTGATCGTCCTTTCCTAAGGTCGGTGGATAACCCTTATGCTAGACGAGTGAATGAATGATAAGCAAAAACCATTTCCATCCAACCACTTTGTATTTTGTGGAGAAAGAGCTCGACAACCTTCGGAAATCTCGTGTGTCTGTTTCGCACTCAAATAGTTAGCTGAAGCATTTATTAAGTAGAGGCAACAATATAAATATTTAATTCCCCTCGGGCTTCCTCTTCTTGTCTGGTGGCTGCTTAAATATACAATTTTATGAATTAAAAGCTATCCATCCATCCAATCCAATCCACCACCAATTTTATGGTAAGAGAGAATGAATGAACCAGCATAATAGCAGCAGCTGCTTATGCCTTGCACTCTACTTTGTAAGGAGGTGACTTAGGTAATAAAAGTTGGAGACTGAATGCAATGCGCTCATTCATTCGGGAGGACATTTATAATTGATTGATAAGTTATTAAGAGATCAATTATCATTGTTATTGGACTTGTTTGTCATAAGTTCATACGAAGTTTTGAGAGGTGAGATGAGACAAAAAATGTTGTTTTGAGGAGTGAGGTGAGATTAGTATTAGTAGGAAATGTTTGGAAATCAGCGCCTCGCTGGGTCACGAGGAGATGGCGAGTACATTTTGTAAAGTCGGTGCCACCACCGCCGATGCTGATGCCGAACAGGAGTGGAGACGATTTTATATGTTACACACATTCTGTACTCTGTAAACCGTGTGTGTCGTGCACATTTGTGTGCTCTCCGAAGCATCATCATCGAGGAAACTATAATAATTTGTGTATTTATCTCATAGTTAACTAATAAACTGCTCGCTGCATAAAAGAGCTATCTTTTGACGACGTCGTCGGAAGTTTAGTTCAGCTTGCACAAATTTTGTCCAACCAACTGGTTCCACTACTGCGGCTGCTGGACAAACGCTGAATCAACCGCACCGGATGTCTTCTTCTTCTAGGAATTAAGGTTGGTCTGGAGTCTGGGTTCGACTTTGAGGAGAGGGGGATTAATTAGGCAGTAAAGATAAGATAGGAAAAGGTAGATTTTGTGTTACATGGATAAGGAGGAATTTGAATAAGGTGCAATTTGATGGTGGTGGTTGTAAGGTGAGGTGACAAAGTGCAGAGTGTAATAAATAATAATAACGGTTGAAGAGTTAGATTAATCTCATTCGGAGGAAATGTAGTTTTTCAATTTGAAAATCATGAATGAAATTATACATGTGTACTGATGAATTCTTTTTTGAAATCATTGCTGTATTACTTTTAATGTGCACAGTTAGTGGGTAGTTAGAGTCACCGCCCCTCTTTCATATTGATTGAAAGGTCGTTTTAAAATTCTGTGAATAAAGGTCTGGTTTAATAAATTTAAAAACGTAAGAATGGCCTGTAAAGAGAATAGATATTCCTGGAAATGAGTCATGTAGTTTGCATTGTTTAATTTTGGGTTGTTATGAATAAACTTTGAACTTGTTTGTTTATTAAACAATCATGTTCTTAGAAAGTGGAGGCTAGAACAATGCTGTCCTTGTGGTTTCTCTATATATAATTAAGTATGGCCGTTAAATAAAAAAGGAGACTACTAACTATAAACTACTGGTTAATTCTTATTGTAGAATAAAGACATTCCTTTGCTTTATTTTTTCAGATATCAGCAACAACGCCAAGCAGGAGCCTGGTGACCTGGTGCAACGAAGTGAAGATATAAATTAGCCTAGTTCCATTCCACTTCCAACTAATTACCTTTATTCTTCGTCTTGCTGATATCAATTAAACCGCAAGAAAGAAATTGACCGTTAGACTGACTAAAGAAATATGAGGGAATACAAGATTGTCGTTTTAGGAAGTGGGGGTGTCGGCAAGTCTGCCCTTACTGTCCAATTTGTTCAAGGAATATTCGTGGAAAAATACGATCCTACCATCGAAGACAGTTACAGAAAGCAAGTTGAGGTGGATGGTCAACAATGCATGCTAGAAATTCTCGACACTGCCGGAACTGTAAGACAGCATGTCGATAAAAAATAATCTAATGTCCAATCTAATGTCCAATATAGATTAACTAATTTTCCTGTTTTTTTTATTAGGAACAATTCACCGCCATGAGGGACCTGTATATGAAGAATGGCCAGGGTTTTGTCTTAGTTTATTCAATTACTGCCCAGTCCACATTTAATGACCTTCAAGATCTAAGGGAGCAAATTCTTAGAGTCAAGGTAAATACATACTTCATACACTACTACTGCTGCTAGCAACGGTTATTTTGAAATCAGAAGTACTTGTATTTAAAAATTCGCTAATTATTTCAGGATACAGACAACGTCCCAATGGTATTAGTAGGTAATAAATGCGACTTGGAAGATGAACGCGTCGTTGGCAAAGATCAAGGGTCAACTCTAGCTCATCAGTTTGGGTGCACGTTCCTGGAGACGTAGGTTTATTCAAGTTATAAAGTGGTGAATTATATTGATTTAAAATATTAAAATATTGTAAATCCATTGCATTTCAGTTCCGCTAAGGCCAAAATCAATGTTAATGATGTAAGTTGGATTCTAAATTGATTCTGACTCTCTTGATAGACACTTGCTAATTTAATTAATTTTTTGTGTACCTATTTTTATAGATATTTTACGACTTAGTGCAACAAATTAACAAGATTTCTCCTGCGACGAAACAGAAAAAGCCGAAGTCGGGAAGCAAATGTACCCTGCTGTAAGAAACCTATTACTGATTTTCCATATTTGCACTTTTTCAACCCTGTTTGTATCCATTAGACAAATAATATAAATTGTTTATGAGATATAATTACTATATGATGCTTATTATATTATTATTATTAAATATTATTATTATCATATATTACTAAATGTTATGTTCAGTATATAGTTGCTCACAATAAAGGACCTTGCGAGTATTTAATTTTAGAATAGAATTTGTAAGAGAAAGAGCCAGGCTATACCCTACGTAAGTAAACTACTAGAACGTAAATAAACGCTATTCCAGTACAATCAATATCTCAAAAAACCTTGTAGTTCCTTCGGATAAATTATTACTTGTAAACACATTCATTAAATTTTAGCATTTTTTCTAAATTCTCATCGGTAACGGAGTTGTTGTAGTGGTTGTCAAAGTGGAATTTGGTTTTGCACAGGTACAAACACAATCGCATTTAGCACCTCCTCGTTCTTGATACGTTCTTCTGGAGGAGGTTCCAGATGCCTGCTTTAACGGTGACGAAGGAAGAGGAGTGGTGGTGGTGGTAACCTCCGTATTGTTCAGTTCCTACAAAAATTTGAAGTGTTGCAAATTTGAAAAAAAAGTCATAGCATGACTAACTTTGCAAGTACTCACTATCGCTCTTTCAGTCGTCGTAGGCCCTCGTCGTCTCAATTCGTTATCATCATCGGTCTCGACATCGGTCATGTTTGTAGTGGCCGCTGTGAGGGGTGTGGTCAGACATGGATTGTTAATCCTTCGCTTCTTCGATGTTGTAATGTTGCTCATGATTCCCAGAACAACTTTGTCAATTAGAGCATAGTCCCCCACTTCCGGTGTGCTTATTTCTGCCGTAAACTGGAATACAAATTTCATTTTACTGTCGCAAAAGCCAATAACCGACTGCACATAGTCGTCAAAACATTTTTTACCGTGTTACGAAGTCCCATATTAAAAATTGCATCGCACCATGATTTCCCATCCGACCAGAAACGCCCAACCACTTGATCTCCACTGGACTTAAAGATGACCTCGACATTCGGGTGAGCCAAAAGGGTGACCCAGGCTTGAGCAATGAGCAAGTGACTCATGGAGTAGGACATGTTCCACTTGTTGCTTCCATCAGACTCGTGTTTGATAAGCCAAATCCCCTCCCTCTCGAATTCCCCTGAAACTGTGACACCGCTCTCACCCGAAGAAGTAGTGGGGGTAGCTTGTAACAGAACCTGAGGGGCGAGGTGCCGAATTTCCGAGCTGGAATTCGCGTAAGTATAATTTCCATGAAACTTCCAACGACGGAGTTCCTTGTGCGTGTTTAAAGTGGTTTCGAACGAGCATCCTGATTTAATCAAATGTAGAAAAACAGCAAAAACGAACAAAGGAAATTTGGGATTGAGATGCATTTTGAACTTGACAAGTACCCAGCTTTTGATACTTCCTTCGAAAGAATGTGCTTATCCAACGGATGGAGACTGCTATTTATTTAAACTAGTTGAAGGGAAAAGACAAGTTTATGAATAAATTCTTATTAATATTCCTCCAACTAACTGTGCAATTCCAAAGTTTGAGTTCAACCACATCACGAATAAATATTCTGTAAGAGAAAATTTTATCCAGTACTAAAAAAAGTCTGTATAAAGATTTTCATTGCCACTGGTGGAAAATGCTTGCTCAGCAATGCCCTCATTTTATGATGGCTTTTTTAACCATGGAAAGGCTCGATGTTTCGTTGTTCGTTAAATGAAAGAGCGATAATCGACAAGACTTCTTACGTTTTATGGTGATGATGAGCAACATTCATTTTAGATCTGCATAAAAGCGAGTTATTGACGAAGCCGACTTTTCATGATGTCAGCAGGTCATCACCTCGCTTAAGAATTTATAAATATAAATAAATGGTTCCAAACAGCCTTTGATGGAATTTGCTTATGTAATACAACAATATTGGCCATGAAAATGATTCTTGTAAATTTGATGCATACATGAATAAAATACACAAATTCACTTTTATTAATCACATGCATTTATAGAACGATTGTTTCAATAACCAATTCAAATTTGAATATTATAAGTTTTCTATGCATATTAATTTTGTTGATTTACAAGTTATTAACACAAAAATTTTCAGTTTTATACAAATTCTTTCAAGGCTGATTAACAAGTACATTAGAAACAAATAATTTAAAGTGAACATAATTACGTCAGTTAATCTTGTGCTGAAGTACCTCCAGAATCGACGCCACTCCTTAAATTGCCATCATCATCTTGGTCATCATTATCACTCACATATGGTTCTTCAGCAGCTGACCCCCTAGAACTATCCCCCTCCGAAGAAATCGATCCCCTCAAGCTGGATTGGAACTGCAGATTTCGTTTTAGCTTCTCTTGATCACCAGTGGAAGTTTTTCTGTAATTTCTTAACTTGGACATGGAATTTAACTTCATTTCTAAAATAAGTTTGTGCATGTTGGATTTTTTCTGCATGTCAACTATGCTTTTGGTAAAGGATCCCTTCAGCACGTCACGTTCTCGTTGAACCAATTCGACCTTTTGAAACAATGCCTCATTACTGATTTCGAGACCATGGGCATACTTATCATTGTATTTCAATCTCTTTGTGCACAGGTCCAATTGACGCTTAATTTCTTGCGCAGATTTTCTATCGTCCCGAAGCCTTTGTTCCGCTTCCTCCTTTCCCTTGAGAACAGTTTCTTCCAATTTACGAACCTCTTTTCGACCTTTGGTCACCTCGAGCGTGAGTTCTTGTTCCTTCTCCCGCAGACGGGCGAGTTCCTCTTGCAATGCGGAAATCACAGCGAAATTATTGGCAGTTATTTCATTAAAGTAATCTTTCATATCTTTCAATTGAGTTTGATGGAGGTTCATTAGCTGAGAAATATGTTCCGATTTTTCTTGCTGCGTTCTCTGAATTTCGGCCGCTTCCTGTATTTCTTGAGCCTTTTCTCGCTCATACATCATTCTCACAAAGGTTGAATCTATGCGACGGAGCTCTGCACAAAAATCGGATCTCAGTTTGGACGCGTGCTCAGCATTTTCCAACTGCAGTTGTCGCATCATGGTATAAATTGAGGTTTGACCCTTGGAGATTTCCTGATTTTTTCTTTCAATCGTTTGACGCATCGAGTTTTGTATGGAGGACGTGGATTCTTGAAAAGATTTCATTTGTTGCAAGTTATGAAGTCGGACTTCTGCTACGCGACGGGATTGTTCCGTCATGAGAAATCGGAGCTTCTGCTTGTACACATGCATTTCTCCTTCACGACTCCTCTCGTTCTGTCATATTTTTACAATAGGCATAAATTTTAGAAATTTTTCTCAAAATTTTCTCGAAAAAAGTAGAAAATTAGTTTAATACATCGTCCATTCGAACATCTGCGAGTCGTGTTTCCGTCTTTGCTGCGGCTAGTTGTTCCAACGTGATGTTCCAGAGAGCATACAATTTTTCTCGTTCCAACATGAAGAAATTTCTCTCCTCTCGTTCCCTGTTCAACTCCATCTGAGAAAAGTAGCATTTAGCATGTTTTAGTAGGTTCAACTTAAAGTTCTGTTGTATGATAACATTCTCGGTTATTGTTTTTAAAAGTGGGGTGGACGACTACCTGCATCCGTTTGACGTGGCCCATGAGCTGCTCCCTTGTCATTTCGTTGGTGGCCACTCCATCGATAATCTTTGCCCCCTTCTTTCCTGCCTTCTTCTTTGGCATTTTGTCTTATGTAGAGTTGACTTATGTTTGTTGGAAAATGAAAAGTGACTTGTTCTACTTGTTGCTAATATGTACTTTCACTGGTTCTGATGATCAAATTGAGTAAGGGAAAGAAATAATTAGATTTGAAGTATACGTGGGGTTGCCGAAAGTTTGAAAATCTGTGGAGTTTTGGTGGAACAAGAAAAATTCACAAGATTGACTGACACACTTTCATATTGCATTATATTTGGAAAAGTTTGATCGTTAATTGAACCGAGCGGACAACCTCATGGCCTCGTTTGTTGATTGCTGGCAGTAACCGTGGTGACCCATCGCTGCATGTTGAAAAACCTAAATGTACGCAGTTACATGGAAAATTAATCTCTCTGCTATTAGTGGCACACATTTACATTTTGTATCCCTTCAGTTGGAAATTTCATTTTCATAATAATAAGTATTACATTTTATAGAGGTACATTTCGCAAGCATAGAAACTTCACTGACTATAATCATTTTTTTTACTGCGTTGTAATCATAATATAATAGTTTATTGAGCCACATTATAATGTCATAAATTAAAAAAATTGCAATGGCCAAACCCCGCAAAAGCAGGAAATACTTGGACCATGTTCCGTATTTCATACCCTAAAATAAAATTCCATGCATTCGTCATTAATCATGCATTTGCAGAACTGATACCCAAATAAAAAAGAAACAATGACATGTGTAATTGGTAGCTACAACAAATAATTGTAGCACGCTAATGTGGGTAATTGGTATATATTTCGGAGAATTTTAGTATAGCATGGTTAAATATATAAAGCTAAAAAATACTCCATTATCTGCCTCTCAAAACATGTCTACAAACGAGACAAAAAATTTTCTGAAGATTTTTGTAACAATAATAACTGGGTTTAGACCAAGGGACGTAATTTCCAACAACTTATGATGAAGCCGACAAGACCTAATATTGCACTGTACCCCGTTGCATCGCACGCTCTGTATTGTTCCTCGAGTGCCATGTAGGAGAAAGTCGTATAATAATAATAGTAATAATACAACATTGTACTTTTGTGAGTCAGTGGTGAAACGGTGATGAAGGACGAATATGATGAGGTTTGGCTGTTCTTTTTTCTGCTGTCATTTTATATCTGCAAGCTAGCCAGCGTTGTCCATGGAATGAACAAAATCTGGGATTCATGGCCTTCTGCTTCTTCTTCTCTTTTCCAGTTTGATGGCAACGGCACGTCACCCACTTCATTGTTACTCGAGTGGAAATTGTTGAAACATTTGAGAGAAATCTCTCCCCGATAAGGTTTCCCCATGTGTAATACGTCTCTCCTTCCTCTTTTCGCTGCAAATTTTACATCGTTTTTGACTCTCAAAATGCTCTCAATCTCTTTTTTAACAATATAATATTTTTTATATATTTGCACAATCCATTTTCTTGCAAACCATGAAGACCATAATTCACACAGATTGTTCTGTTTTTTGGTAAATATTCAATAACTTTACTACGGCTAACTTTGTTACATACCTCGAATCAATCTACGTGCAAGCACCCCTTCACTTTCTATGGATGGGATTCGTATAGACAGCAATTGGCAACATTTACATCCCATCCCGAATAGCATTAAAGAGAACAAAACGGGCTCATTGTCTCCGTCTCATAATGCAGGCAGGGAAAGCAGAGAGAAAGAAGAGCAAATATGAACTCGTGAATTCAGTCCACGTTCCTTTGCCAAGTCGGAACTTCACGGATTCCTCCCCCAACTAACAATTGGATCAAAGCTTTTACCACCACGTCCATTTGTGTCGTCCTGGCCTCGCATACTTACATAAGACACATTCCTGCCCGGCCACCTCTAGGTATTTGTGCTACTTGTGAGAAGATTATGCTATCATCATCACAGACTTCGGAATAATGATGACGATGAACAAAAGCTCTACGACCCACGTCAATTACTTGTACGAAGCCCACTGTAAACTCTAAAAATGCATCATCCCGTTCGTATTCCAGGGAATTTAATTTTTTCCCGCACACTGTGTGGGAGTTCCTTCAGTGAAAGCGAGTTTGATGGGATTCTGGGCGAGCGAGAGTGAAAAGAGAGTTGCAAACGATCCACAAAGTAGGATTGCAAACTCTCTCCCAGCTAACCAACAAGCAACTCTTTCTCTCTTCTTCTCTGCTGGATGAATATTGTGTTCACTCGCTCGTTCCTTGGAATCCACTTCAATGGATGGGGCTACCACCGACCCACCACCGACGACCTGCTAGTGCCTGCTACTGAGGGAGGAGGATGCTGGAGAGACAACGTAGGGAAATATTCTCACAGCCACTTCCCTCGTTACCCACTCTCCACTTTGTGTCAGCTCACTTTCTCCAGTTTTGCACAGAGAGAGAGAAAGCGAGAGAGGGATGAGCGACTTGAAAAACACTCTGGAAATTTCACTTTCTCTTTGGCAATGTTGACTATCCCATTTGATGGGTTGACCATGTACGCCAATCGGCAAGTACATAATTACGAGGACCACACAGAAACCTTCATCCCGGTTTGGAAATGATGTCAATATTTACCTTCACGTTTCATGAAGTGGATGTATGTATGTGCACGCATGTTTCCAACATGGCTGATGAATCCCCCTCGCCAACTCGCTATGGAGCAGCAGTGGCGGCGGCAGGAGGAGAAGGAGGACTACAGGACCCTTGAACATTTTCTTTTCACTTTTCTCCCCACTTTTGGCAAAACTGAGAGGCTTTGGACTGGGTTTGGGTGCACGACTAGCCCAGTTAGTTGGTGCTCGTCGGTGGAGTCAGCCGCGTCGTGGGCCTTTCGCCTGCACGGGTCGAGACAAAAAATACATCTTTCTCTCTCTCTCTATCTCTCTCTCTCATCTCTCTCTCTGCCTTTTCTTCTTATCAATCTGCCTCATCCAACATCGCCAAAAGTCTCTCTTACCATCATCTCTCTCTTCCAACCCCAAACCAACAACTCGAACATCTCCTGGCAGCAAATCATTGCCAAAATATGCAAAATTAACAACTTGCCATTCATCAACTCATTAAAGTAAAAATATAAGCAGACCATCATCGGATTGAATTTCGTCTCACCAGTAATTGCACAAACGTCGGAGAGAAAGTAAGATCTTTTTTAATTCTGTATCTCTCGCTGCCTCTCTCTCTCTGTGTCTCAATCTGTCCGTAACTTCTTCCGTAATTTCACTTGATGTGCATCTCTTCCACCAACAAAAGTACATACACTCACTCTCTCAGTGGACACTGGCCTTCTTCCCACCACAACAAAACAAATTGCACAACGACACAATTATTCTAGCCACCAAAACTCACCCAACATCACAAACTACAACCTACTACAACATAATCTTTACTCTGTAAACCTGTGGCTTGTGTGCATACAAATTTCTCCAGACTTTGAGCTGCTCTAGCTCTCAAGTTGTGGTGGAACATTTCTTCAATAACTTCTTCCTCTGCAAATCTGGCTTTAGGTCTTGATTGGTAATTCTGAGTAACACTGTAAATTTCTGTTCAATGTGAATGACTCTAAATTAACAATTATTGTACATTATACAATAACAATATTTGCATCCCTCATCATCATCGTAACTTTCTTCTCTTCCAAACACTTCCACTCGTTGTTTAACTGTCATTTGCACGTATACTTGATTGTGGTAGTTGCTAATGCTACACACTTGATGTGAACACTATATGTTTGACACCAATAATAAGTACCCGAAGAGACCTTTGTGTTGTATTCATTGACAATCGATTTGCCAGTTTACCAAACAAATATTTTAACTTTGAACACTTTGAATTTTGATTTTGATCGACCCGTGCAGGCTACACTCGTACCATCGCTTTTTGGGTGCGACTACGGAATAAGACCTACATGTAGGAAATTTGTGGCTTCTTAATAACACCTCCAACGAAGCAGTCGACCCACACACCCAACCAACCAACCAACCAACTAGGTTACTGCCATCCTGATTTTGTCACCATCTTCTTTCCTAATAAGTTTAGCAGCAAATTATAACAGCATCAAGTTGTGGGTTGGAATCTCAACATTCCCGTCTCCTCAAAGAAGGCACATAGCAGAAGAAGGGTTGAGGAAGTGCATACGCCGAAGAAAAAATCAATCAATCAGTATGTTCTCCGTCGTATGACATCATCAACGACAAAGACAAAAAAAGAGAGGAAGATAACGTCGCAGACTGGACTAATGGATTCCAAGACGAAACAACAATAAGGCCTCGAATCGAGTGAAAAGGGAAATACCAAATCAACATCTGGACCTGAAATAAAAGTTGTCGCTTCTTCTGGATTTGTTGTCCTCGGTATGTATTCATTGTCTTGATTGTTTATGTCCTTGTCTTGATTTCACTATACGCACTTATTTACATATGGCGATGACATATTCATATACATGTATATGGCATATTGTATATCGACAGATGTACTGACGGGATTTGGGTTTCTGTCAGATCACCTGATTTAATAATTTAATATGTAAAGGTATTGGTGTCGCTGGTAACAAATCCACCACCTTCCAATATCGCTAGTTTGGTTATCTCTGCTTTCCAATTATTTCTATATTCGTACCTCCATTTTTCCATGCAAATAGAAACGCAAGATCTCTAAAACTTCAGCAAAATCACACATTCTCAGAATCCAGAAAAACATCCATCCAAATTTCCCTGGTTTCGTGCTTTCACTCAAATGAAGAGTAAAAGACAGAACAAGGACAAAAAATTGGGTCGTCCCCCATTTGCATTGATTATAGCAAGTTATGTAGAATAGCATGAAAATGTGCTCTACTTTCTCCCAAAGTAGTGACTGGGGCTAAATGATATTTTTTCGAAAAAAGTCAATCAAACAGAAAATCGTGACATAAAAGCCTTTTGTATTTCAACGAAACTCAACAGTGTGCATGTTCATATTCATCCACAGCCCCGAAATAAATGATGGACTCGTCTCATGAGAGCAATTCATATTAAAACTTAGACTTTGCACACCTCCAATTTATTTCAATTTTGGTTGGGAACCATCTCATCTCATCAGTTTCGTATTTCTTGCCCACATGCATCTTCAAGTGTTGAGCGATATACAGGAAGTAGAGAGAGTATCGAGGAATTGAATTGAGTGCTTGGAACCGGTAATTCAATATCCGGGAGAGATAAATTGCTCTCTTGTTACTCACCCTTCGAAAATCACATTCACCTCGAACTCTTTGAATGCGAATCTGAATATCCGACCAATCCATTGCACGCCATAAACTCCCTTTGGCCCAATTTCCATCTCTCTCTCATATTTCACTCGCTACGTTTTTACATACATGCACCTCACCGATTCCCGATTACGAGAGGAAGGACTGGGTGCGAGTTTCCAATTTTTCCCAGTTTCAACTTCATTCTCGCAAATTTTTACAAACCGTTTGGGAATATTTTTGTTCTTACGTAAATTTTTGAGGTGTCACATTTCTCGCCGTGCTTTGTTTTCCTCTTCGCATTTTCACATATTTTCACAACACCTCCATTTCGAACTTTAAATTGGAAAACGCTATTACATAAAATGTTCAGTTAGGTGAAATTCAGAGGACGTAAAGAGGTACAGACATTCCTCTTTATAGGATTAAACGGGCATATGTTGCTTTTCACTTCAAGGCTACAGTGCATAGGGAAGCTAAATAGTTGGCAATATTACATATTCCGCTGGAGTGGAAGAAATCTTATTTGATGATGAACAATACGAGGACGTCGTTGAAAAGAGTGGAATCAGAGCAGAATTTCATCGCTTTTCTGCCCAGAAACAGTAGAAATGGAAATGTGAACTGCACAGGACGAATTTGCAAGTACAAATATAAAACATGATTCCAGTGATTTTGCTCAATCTGCTTCTTCTTCTCTCCTGTTAGTGATCATGTTTCTGAATACATGGAATCGAATATTGAGCAAACAATAAACAATGTGCAAGTCACGGCTGCCTCCGGTCGGTCGGTTGGTCGAGGTTTTGATCAATTAGTTTCTCTGGTCTGATCGTGGTGGTGTAAGAGCAGGATCCGGTGGCATTGAGAGAAAATCTCTCAAATAACCTGTGTGCCACATTATTACAATTACAAAGCAGCTGCGCCATATTTCTCCTACTTTTTGCGATAAAATGATTTGTTATCACAAAAATATTGTATAAATTGGACAAGCATTCCCAATTTTCTTGTTCGTTATGCTCTGCTGAAATTTGTAGTATGGGAGGCTGTAAAAATAGGAAATTGGAAAAAATCTCACCTCTATTTTTACTTTTAGGACGGCTACGTGAATTTTTTTTATTACTTGTGAAATCTTAACCACCACTTTTTTAAAATCCTCAAAAAGCTATGAATAGAAAGTATCAAATTGAACAAGGGCATCGCGCAGCAGCAATTTTACGTACTTATTACTCCTTAATGTTGAATAATAGAATCGTCCTTACTCGTTTATATGTAAACCAATTACCTGTGCGGTATGCAATTAGTTGGTCTGTCTGATGCAATAAAGGTGAGGCAAGTGGATAATGCGATTTCAGTGAAGGTTTTACCGCAGTCATTTATTTATGAGGAGCTAAATATGCCGTCACACAGATAATTTCCTTCTCTTATTTTGCCTCTAAATTTCAAAGAAGGTTTAATATTTCTGGACCACTCAGCCCTCGTTTTGCGGCAGTGTCAGTGAAAGTGAGGATGAAACAGGAGATGAGTTTCTGAGAATGTCGAACTCCGCTCTCTCTTTCTCTCTCTGCCTCAGTCTGAAAGGTATTTCGGATTACAAATCCGTAAAAGAGAGTGTTTTTGTAAACATGGGGCCGAGTAGTGGAAGGCCATTAATGTCCAAACGAGATTAGTCTCCCGGGAGCGTTTCCAAAGTCATTCTCTTGCTTTCACCACCGTCAGAAGAAGACGGAGAGAGAATGGAAAAGCACGTTGCACACTTGCCCCACATTCCCCACCACCATGATCAAATTTATTGTGATGAGGCAGCACACTTTTACTGTCGACTTTCTCCTCATAGCAGCAAATTTCACTCTCACCATCTCGCCGTGCATGCGGAGGCGAGCGAGGCAAGACTTGGGTCGGTTAAGTACGACTTGTATGACAAAGTACGGAAATTGTGCGGGGCAAGAGACAATGCAAGCATCAAATTAAGACAATCACATTTCCCGTAATTTTATAACCTTTCAACCCGCTGTGGCCCTATTCTGTGTGTCTTAATTCAATTTCGGGCAACAACTAATGCTCCCCTTACTTCCCATTTGGCTATTTGCAGTAAATAAAGTCCTTACGGGTTTCGATGCTACGTGAAACCGCAAATCATTTATTAAGCTTTTATTCACAAGGACAAAATGCTTTCGTCGTGGAAAATGGGATTGGTTCGTGGGATGTGGTCGTGGGTGGAGAGCGATAAAAATATGATACATATAATGCATCTCTCATGGTTCATGATCATTCTGCTGCTCGAAAAGTGCGGAGGAATGTAATTGTTCCACTTTTGTTTGTTGGCTACATGCTGTAACTATTTATACGTCCTTTGCTGCAGGACTCTTGATCTCATGTTGACGTGACACTGCTACAACAACCGAGGTTGAAGTGGTACTGACAAAAAGTGCCCAAGCCGGAAATGCGGCTCATTAGTCCTTTTTTTGCGAGAGTATAGCCAACTCAAACTCAAATGTGAAGAGGGCCAGACCGTTCAATCTTCAGGAACAATGCAGCACTACAAGTTTTCGAGTGTATTTGAGCGAAAAGTGTTTTGTCATGAAACACTTGAGCTTCAATTATACGTTTCAGCTTTCCTCCTGATGCAATAAAAACATACATTGAGGAACAGAAAGGGTAGATTTCACCACTTTTCGTATGCATGGGCACGATAAGTTTTTGCACTCGATATGTGAAAAGTTGACCAAGATGGCAACATAAAGGAGATGACGGCTTACACCAGGGTCAAGTTATACGAAATAATTTCTTGTAGAGTAAATAAACAGATAGAAAGCTCAAAGCGGAAAGAATTCCAATTTCCAGACGATATTATTTGAGCTAGAGGTATCAAACATGAATTTGACATGTATTTTTTACGAATTAGTTCTGCTCGATGCAAAATACAAATACGCTTAAAATATGCAGAGCAAACTTTTTCAAGTCATACTTTGCATGCGGGTTCCCTACTTGGTTAGGAAACGTTAATGTGATTTGATACGATGAAAGTTCAGAGCTCTGCTCATGAGATTTGAATTTACGGATCCAAATCCCCCGAGATTTCTCTTCCTTTCTCCCAAAGCTCGATGATGGTGGTGGTTGAGAGATTGGATGGAATCGCTACTTGCGTGTTCATAAGTATATCCTTACAATCATATCGAGAGAGAGAGAAAGAGGAAAAAATATTGAAATAGTTGGCTTCGCATATTTGTTCTATTTGGCATTATTTATCTCAGTTTTAGAGCTTCCACCACTTTTACTTATTCTCTTACATGCCCAGAAAGAGAGGAACTTGATCTCTGTGACAGTTGATGTATGTAATCCTTGTTAAGCCTAAACTTGAAGACTGTTTCTCAAAGAGACAGCGCATCACAACATGAAATATTTTATCCATTATAAAAACAAATACTTTTAAAAATGTATAATGGATTTCTCTACGAAGGTGACTCATAAATAATGTCTTTCCACATTGACTACGCTTAGAAAAATGTCGCTATTTTTCGAAGATGGATTTCACATACTTACACTTACGCCGCAAAATGGTACGTACTCGCACATATCGCATGGAAATAACGGAAGGTGGTTGAACAACACATTCCAGCCCCGCAGTAAATTTGCTAATGAGTTGGGAAGAGAATTTTGAAAACGTATGGTGGGAGAGTGAACAAGAAGAGTATCGAATCAAAAGTTGGTTGGCTACGTATATCGATCCAATTCCTTCTGCATCATCATCATTTTCACTTTCACCACCTCTTCCAGCGACCTAGAATCCCATCCTCGAGATATTCGATGTGTCCCCAGTGCCTTTGTCAATGTCATCTCTCCCAGCAGTTCACTAATCTTCACAGGAGTCGTCCACTTGAAAAATCGTTCCGCCAGATCTCCAATAACTATCCGTAACACCAAAGTCTTCTGCGGAGAAAGTTGGGCAAAACAAAAGTTACTTTCGCTATTCCACGCATCATCTTCTCCGTCTTGTTCGATGTGCAATGAATCTCTGGCTCACAAATTATGCACACTTTTCAAAAGTACGGGCTGAATTATGAAACTAGTAGCGCACCTCACTCAACCAGTGGAAACTTAATTATAATATCTTCCCACAAATTTAGCTTCCAA